ATGGGGCCCCGGAAACACGGGGGAGTTCTGTGTATCATTAAAAATAAACAAATCGATGATTTCCTGAATTTGAATGTATGGGCCAAAAGACACAGATTTCATAAACTGGCTGTAAACCGCACATGGTGTGCCAACAATTTTTTTTTAAGGGCAAATATAGTCGCACACCAACCCTCCTTACTTTTCTCTTAGTCATCACGCATGGAGGGTTATAGTGTTGTTATTCTATTCTTTGCTTCTCTCAGTATAGTAGGGCTGTTCAGCTGGTGGCTTACAGGTCAAATCTGGCCCACTGTGGCCTGTGGATCACCTGCCATTTGTATTTTAATAATGATCTTTGTGTGCTTAGGCCTCTGGCCCTCGACGATCCCAATTTTAGAAGATTTTGGCCCCAGAGTCAAATTAGTGGAAACGCCTATCTTAGGGAATAAGGTAAAACTGATCAGGAGCATATCATGGAAGGGCAAGCCCCCTACCGAGAGCGTCGCACAGTGCATGAAATCCGTAGCTCCAGTGACGATCCCCAGGGATCTCCGTATTACATGCAGGTTTTCCCTGTCTTAGGGAATAAGGTAAAACTCAGATCAGGAGCCTATCAAGGCCAGGTTTCCTCTCTTTGACTAGCAGAATCTAGGCATCCTGTGAAAAAGGAGAAAGACTAAAACAAGTACACACTGGCATATTTAGAAATGTGGTAAAATTATCTGCTATCATTAGAAACAGTAGTTACTAGACCATTGCAGACTTACAACAAAGAGGAAGAGGAGAAGAATAAAAGGAGGCGAAGACAAAGAAACAACCACAGTGAATTGTTACATAGGAAACAGTATATCTTCTTCTTCTGCCTTTCTATCCCCCAATGGAGCATAGGCCCTCAACCAACTCACGCCAAGTCGTTCTATCCTTCGCCATTGCATGGAGCTCTCCCCATGTCCTTCCCATCTTTCTAACTTCATTCTCCAGCTCTCTTCTCCATGTGTTTTTTGGCCTTCCTTTATTCCTATGCCCCTGTGGGTTCCAATGCAAAGACATTCTAGTTATGCTGTTCTCCTGTTTTCTCAGTGTGTGTCAAACAGTATATCAGACAGCTGTAAACATTTGTTGGTCATTCATAGAAGAGTATTTACCCGGTGGGCTCCAGGCATGACAAAGGCGGCATTTTGTCAAACAGGGCAAATTAAGGGTTTGCTGAAATTAATGTGTTGATCTGAAGGGTAAAGTTGTCACAGCCTAGCTGTAAACCACATCACAGTTTGCTTACCACCTTTTTAAGGATGAATGCAGAAGAAGAAGATAGAAGAGTATTGTAACATATGTTTGTAAACTGGTTGACTTCAACTGATGAACTGCTTAGATGAAAGAAAAGCAATCCTTTTAAATTAAATTAATTTTTTATAATTTTGTGTATGGTTCACATGTCATGCTCTTTAACATTTTGAATTAATTCATGTGATTTGTAATTTCCCCACAGACTACATAGATTTTCATGGATGTTAAAGCTGGGAAAGGTACAGGGGATACCCCTGAAAATCCACCTGCCTCGGCGTCCACTTCCTCTGGGAGAAAGGTAACTACAAGATTATTTGTTGATGTCCAGAGACATTAACTCTGTCACTACCATGAGGTTATTGCAAAAGATGTCCAGTATGTGTATTATTTAGTGAGAAACATCACAAGTGTGTGATTTTTAGAGAGGCTAAATGCAAAGTGCACGTAGCTAGTTAGGTCAGCCAAATTGTTTTCAGTATGTGCTAGTACAAGTGACATGTTTGAGAACACATTATAGAGAACAAGGATTTGGAGCAGTACAGAATAGAACAGGTGCAGGATACACTTATGAGGAAAATAAAACCCAGATCAAGTCAACCATTAGAACGCATTAAGACACTTTCCATCCAAAACACAATCCTGAAGAACGAATGAACCTCCTGACATGAAAGAAACACCAAAATGTGTTAGATGCGAACTGGACACAGCAGACTCAGCGCCCGTGTGTACAGGAAACTCAAGGTTGAGTGTTCAGGACTTAGCATATGTGGCCAGGCACCACAAAATACTCAATAGGTGCTGCAGACATGCTCTTTACAATCAGCTTTCTTCTTCTGATTTTTGTACTTCATCTCTTTCTCTTCCTTCTCCCCTTTTTTGTCTTCACCTCCTTTTCTTCTTCTTCTCTTCCTCTTTGTTGTAAGTCTGCAGTTGTTGACTCCATGCTGAGGAGGATAGGGAGCGTTAATATAAGTCAACATGGAGCCACTCAGTGGTAATGTCAGCTCTGGTAGTTACACCAAATCAGGTACCTTGTAACTAAACTGAAGTTCCTCACATACGAATCACACAAGTTCTTGTAATGAGTGACCCAAACACAGCTGCAATCATCACATATATACCTTTACTGACTCAGACACTTGTTTACATCAGCACACATAATGAGAATGTTTACAATCAGCACACATAATGAGAATGTAAAATATGAAAAAAACTGTGCACCTTGTCCTCACAGTATAACACGATGGCAGTTAAGAGCATAATCTCAACACATCCATAGAATTATTTTTAGACTTCACTGTGCTGCTGTCTACAGCTGACCTATGAGCTCATTCCGAGTCATTTAGTGCAGACTTGTCTGAAGGTTTACTCGTGTGACTGAGGCTTCACCCTGAGTTACACGGTCAGTTCACCATTATGCCAAGGGCTCAACTAGACTCTCTCTGACTTTCTTCATGTATGATTGATTGGATCTAGAAGGGAAAAGCCCCATGCCTGAGTCTTAACTCATGCATTATCAAACATTTGACACACAAGTTATTAACAAATATATAGATTCTCTGTTAAATATAGATTTGACACAAAACACTTTTCTCTTTTCCTCTTCTCCTCTTCTCTACTCTTCCTTTTGTTTTCTTCACTTCCTTTTCTTTTTCTTCTCCTCCTGTTTCTTATCCATTTCTTTATCATCCTCCTCCTTCTTCTCCTACTCTTTCTTTACCCCCTCTTCCTTCACCCTCCACCGTATCTTTTCTTCACTTCCTCCTCCTCTTCTTCTTTCGCTTTTAAAAATGCTAACACATTGTTTTGTGGTTTACAGCTAGGCTGAAAAATCTGCTGTGCCTCTCGGCCCATTACATCAGATTTCAGCAAATTCTGAATTAGTCGCCTTAAATGGTATGGTTTTTAAGGTGGGCTAAATCCCCCCTCCCTCCCCCTGCCAACCCTAATGATTCCTGAACTCTTACAAACTCTTACAGTAGCGTTAAATGTATATAATCCAAATTATTATAGCGTTTTCTCATGAACAATAAAAAATTTTTTTAAAAACCATTTCCAGCGCAAGCCACAGGGCATCGACCTAGGAGAGCTCCGAACTCCGCTCAAAAGACAGCGTGTTCCAGTTTCTAGGTTTCAGTCTCCCCTAGAGGAGTTGGAAACAAAGTTTAAGGTGGAAAAAGAAGAGAAGAAGAAGGATGAAAATATTACACTGTACAAGAAAGGAGCCTTTTTGGCTGTCAGGGGTGCAGAAGGTAAATATTCTTGTAATTTTCTATTATTTTATGTGGCATTTGATTCAAATGCTTTTAACTTTGTTTTCCAGAGTAAACCCAGTCTTGTATGATTTTTTACAAGGCAAATTAATCACAAAAGGTCTTTAAACCAAAATACCTAGAACTTGGAGAGGATATAGTTTAAATCCATGTGGAAACACATGCCAGATGAAACTGGTGAACATTAAATGGGATGAATCTGAAAAAGGCGAAGACATAGAGAAAGGTCTGAACATCCGCTGTATCAACAGATAAAGAAGAAGGCAACATAATTGGCTTATCAAGCCGGCACTGAAATTATAAACAGACATGAAGGACTGGAGAAGCGAGGGCATCCAGGAAAAACCATATAGTGAATGTTGATAAGAGAGGCCAAAGGATACAGAAATAACTAATAGAATATGTTTTCTAAGTAACTCAGTGAGTATGCTCAGAAGGATCGATATGGGCTGGGCTTAAAGACATTGGTTGGTATCTCTGGGGAGGTCATAGATGACTAAAAAGCTGTTCATTATTTGTGCCAGAGTACATAGGTGCAAAATGAAACAAATACGCTTATAGGCTCACTGTTGGGACTGCTAAACATTAAACCATTCGAGAACTGGCTTTATAAGTCAACACTGAGGAATATACTGCAAAGGTGATTTGATGCTTTTTGATAAATGATTAGATGCTTACTATTGTTAAACAGTGAGCTTCTGAACTTCTTGTTTTTTCTAGTGTAGTCGTAGTTAAGGTTTCAACTTCCTGCACACAGATCACCCCTTAGTTGCTCCGTTCTTGCTTCAGTGAAAATCACACAGTGTCCTTAACTGTCCCATTTGAAAACTAGTGAACAAACAGTTAATCCTGGCAAATTCCAAATTTGTCATTGATGAAAGTAAATAGTCAGTTATCATAAGCTGGTTGTACACTCAGAATCATTGCATAAGATATTTTGCCAGCTATCATAAACCAACTAGCTACCTGTCGCAATCACAAACAAAAGGCATTCTATGTGAAATACATACAGCTCATAATGCCACACCAAGCATTTAACTAAGTTGTTTATTCAGCGAAAATCGTAGATTCCAGTCCATATAGGGAAACTTACATTAACAAAGCAACTGCATTAGCAAACCATTGCTAAAAGGAAAAATAATTTCAGAGCAAATGGATTGCCTTGCCTATTTGCCATATTGGATTAGAAGTCCTTTAATGTTTAGTTGGTTATAGCAGCGTGAATGTCTCTTATGAAAAACATATTTTCGGTTGATTCATTTGATGTTTTTATATCTGTCATTAACATCGGGTAAATTATTTACAGGCTCGTTTTATCTGTGTCGTGCGGCCCAGAACATCAACAGCAAATCAAAACGTCTTCGCATCCAGTGGCTAACACTTGACGCACCACCAAATGTCTACAAGTTTGACTATGTGGACACCACTGAGATGGAGACAGTGCTCACAGAGATTAACATGGAGAAGGTTTCCAAAGATGGCTACAGATTGCCGAATAGTGAACAGAGAAGGGCAGAGAAAATTCTAGATCGAGCCATCAGAGTTGAAAAGGGAATAGCAACTGCAGATGAGGTGGAGGAGGAAGCTTTGGGAGAAATTGAGGATAGGAAGGAAAGTAGTGAGGAGGGTAAGTTGACATAATTAGTTTCTGGTTATGATGAATCCCTCTAGTGCCAGTATGGGTTCCATGGCCCCATTGTGGGGTTTGTGGGAATAAAGAATAAACCCACTACTCCTAATCCGCATGTCTTAAAAGTTGACTAATTAGGGATGTTTCCTTTGTAGTCAGGTCATCTGCCTGTGAGACAGGGAATCAACAGTCTGCATACAGATAAGCCAGATCTGCAGAACTCAGGGTCAGAGTATATAAATAAGGCAGCTGTCAGATGTGCCATCACCAGCAGTCCCATGCCAGAATTGCTGCTCACTGTTGATGCAAGCAGTCAGTAATGAAAGTTTACATTGTATCCGCAACACCGCATAAGAACATAAAACATCAGATGTAATTGGGCCACCTGCCATTTTTGTGCTGTTAACAACACAGAGCTGAACTGGCACAACAAAATAAACTTCCAAATGAAATCCACAACTTATAGTGCTACACCAAGAACACAGCTTAGTCTTGCAGAAATAAACATAAATCTTAACAGTGCTCTTGACAGAGCTCATCAACGAATGTTACATCTCCCCCCTACACTTCGATGAGGTACAAGGTGGAAGAGAAAGAAGAAGCTTGCCTTAAAAAAATGTAATGTAATCACATTAAAGTATTCAGTAGTTTTTATTTTTTCTGTAGAGGATGATCCGTTGCCTGAAACAAGTTCTCGCAGTGACAAAAAAGCTACACCTAAAGGTAAATCTAGTCTCATATGCTGTCAATCATTTTTGATGTACTTGTTCATCTGTGCCAGAGCTTTTCAAACTTGTCATGTTGGTGGCACACTGTATAGGCAAACATAATTTTGCAACTTAATAATTCAGGCTACTAGCAACCCAGATATTAAAGTTCAGAATAGTATGCTGCTTTATGATTGCACGGCACACCTTCATACTGTAGCCGACACGGTTTTGGAATTGTAGCCAAATAAATATCTTCCCTCTTAGTCTCCCCCCTCTCCCCTTTCCCTTCCTTGTCACATTGTCACTTCATGCCGCAGTGTTCCACTTCTGATATGCCACAGGAATGGATTTTTACTTAGTCGGTGGTGGTGGTGGGGGGGCTTTGTGCAGCATAGTTGGTGGTGGGGGGCATTGTGCAGAACATGGCATGCTCAGTTACTTTTGTTTATAGGAGTAAGGAGTCACAGTCCTGTCCTTATAAAATTGCTTTTTGTTTTGTTAGCAATCTTCAAACATGCTTCTGTCTGTCATCTGAAAGATGAAAATTTAAAACAGTTTGTGATGGGGATAAAAGACTTGCTTGCGTTTTAACAGTAAATGTGGTGACATCTGATGGTGTGTTTGCCTTAGATAGGACACCTTTTGAGTAAAACTAGATAACAAGAATGTTATTGCACTGGAACCCCCAGGGTGAAAAAAATACAGGCAGAAAAAAAAAAACCCCACACACATGGGAAAAGGCACATGCGAGTGAATAGAAAAACATTAGGGGGCCATAAGATTAACTAAGCATGCTTGTTTTCCTTCCTTTATCTTTCTGTTAGAAAACCTTATATCAGGAGGCCAGTAACCTATGCCTGCGCAAAAAAAAGAAAATGAAAGGATAGGATGGCTTTGCATGAGTTTGTGGAGAGCTCGTGCTCTATTGCAGATACAGGGCATAAAAAGTAACACATACTGAAGCTGTAGGGAATGGCCTTTTTTCCTGCGCCTCGTTTATGCTGTTTGACTTTATCTTTATCATCATTGTCCTGTTGTGTCATATGTCACATAGGGCTTGCATCTATTCCTCAATTCCATTCTATCCTCTGCATTCCTGTCAACATCATGGATAGAATTCAGTCCACAACTTCTGGCCTCTCTCAATGTTATAGCACTTCTTTTGGATGTCCTGACTTCCTCAATCCTTTTATTTCCCATTTTAGTGCTTGCTTGGTGATTCTCGGCTCATTTCTTTTCAGGATGTGTCCAATATAGAGCAGTCTTCTTTGTCTTATAACTGTTTTTTCCAGTGGTAGCCTAGACGTTTCTTCACCCCTTTTGAATTCATCACATTTTTTGCTCAACGTTTTCCTCAGACATTCTTTTTCAAATGCATTTAAACCTTAGTTCCATGTCTATAAAGACAACTTTCACTGGCATATGTTAAAATTGAAATAATATTAGAATTGAAACTTTACATTTTAGAGTTCCATATTTTCTTCAGGCTTTTATGAGCTGTTGATACCTTGCCAGTAAAGGTCATAATGTCTTTCTTTGTGCCTCCTTGCCAATCACTAGCACTCCATTGTAAATTTTGTTAAATTTTCAGGAAAAAAGGCAAAGTCCCCTAATCCAGCACAGAAGAAAAAGGGAAAAGGTAAGCAAGTATCATTGTCTTAGTTAGTTTAAATAACCATTTTGTTGTTAGGTAGATATAATTGTTCGTCTGCATAAAACTCTTTGAATTGGAAATTATAAATATCGCAGCTTGCTAGTTGTATTGGAAACAGTCTCTTCTAATGGAAGTAAAAGACCCTTTTCTTGCTTTTGGCACATCAGACTTACAGTGCTAGACTTCTATTTTTATAAAGTGATGACATAAAAAGAGATGACTGCAGTTGAGCTGAATGCAAGAAATGCTGAAAATAACAAAAACCTTGTGTGAAAGGAACTGTTTTTGCCTTACTCCAAGAATGCTTTGTGCATACATGCACGAGGAGGAATTAATACATTAAAACCTTGTGTGAAAGGAACTGTCTTTGCCTTACTCTAGGAATGCATCATGCATGAGGAGGAATTAATACATATAAAACCTTGTGTGAAAGGAACTGTCTTTGCCTTACTCTAGGAATACTTCATGCATACATGCACAAGGAGGAATTAATACATATAAAACATTGTGTGAAAGGAACAGTCTTTGCCTTACTCTAGGAATGCATACATGCATGAGGAGGAATTAATACATATAAAACCTTGTGTGAAAGGAACTGTCTTTGCCTTACTCTAGGAATACTTCATGCATACATGCATGAGGAGGAATTAATACATTTAAAACCTTGTGTGAAAGGAACTGTCTTTGCCTTACTCTAGGAATGCATCATGCATGAGGAGGAATTAATACATATAAAACCTTGTGTGAAAGGAACTGTCTTTGCCTTACTCTAGGAATACTTCATGCATACATGCACAAGGAGGAATTAATACATATAAAACATTGTGTGAAAGGAACAGTCTTTGCCTTACTCTAGGAATGCATACATGCACAAGGAGGAATTAATACAAATAAAACATTGTGTGAAAGGAACAGTCTTTGCCTTACTCTAGGAATGCATCATGCACGAGGAGGAATTAATACATATAAAACCTTGTGTGAAAGGAACAGTCTTTGCCTTACTCTAGGAATGCATCATGCATACATGCACGAGGAGGAATTATTGCATATAAAACCTTGTGTGAAAGGAACAGTCTTTGCCTTACTCTAGGAATACTTCATGCATACATAATTCTCCTCGATCTTCAGATCATGCAGGATATCAGTATATTCTTCTTCTTGTTCCATCCTATTCTAAAATAAATTTCTGTAGCATTTAAGTTCAAAAGCAATCACAATCACAAACAACAAAATGAACATTGGGTGCCAGAAATCCTTTGTCACCATACGACCCAAACCAATAATAATAGAATAAAAAATAACTTTAGGTAAATTCACTTATCTGTTTAGTACAGAAAACAATTTGTCTGCATTTTCAGAGGAAGACAAGACTTCCAGGAAGAAGGAAAATGTCAAGGTGGGAAAGCAGAAAGGAAAGAGTGAGAAAAAGAAGGGACCTGACAGAAATCTGAAGCCAAATCCCAAGATTAAGATCTTTGAGAAGGACCCTTTCTTTGAAACCAAGTCAGTATAACTGTTTTTGTGTGTTAAGGAGATAATTAAAATATTCTCTTTTTTGCATGTTTGACAAAGCTTTCTCTTTGTGCAAACTCTTATGAATATGTTAACCTAGAAGGGGAGAGTAGTCTGGTTGTTAATTATAAATAAACTAAAAAAATCTGCTAAGGTAACTTTAATAGATGCACACAATAAACACTCGAAAACATGTTAACAGGGCCTATTGGAGAAACAAAAACAAAATTGTAACCTACTGTGCATACAGTAAAATGTAATTAAAAAGAGTAGTCATAAGACTGAAAAAGAAGGAAGGGGGTTAAGGAAATTGGTAATCACTTCTCATTTATGCATTGAGCTATTTATGTTAACCCTTTGGCTCTGCAAAAGCTAAAGAAAAAAAGGGAATTTTTGTCACACACAACAAAAATTCAAAAACAATCATGGAAATACCCAACTGTTTTTCATGTCTGTCCATATTTTTGTGTGTGTATTTCAAAATGGACACAGATAAAGTGTGAATTTTAATAATAATATCGCAAAACTGTCTTGTCACTGCCATTTCTATATTGGAAGTTCCTAGGAAAAATGATATTTAAATAGAATTGGGCCCAACCAGAAGTGTACAACCAGGGCAGGAGACAGCAGGTTAAAGATCCGTTGCCGCCAACCTTCACCGTGGAGATGGCACCTGATTGATTGAACATAAGAATTTGAAATAAAGGCACTTTGTTATGAATAAAAAATACAGATAAAGTGTGAATTTTAATAATAATATCGCATGACGCTACAAAACTGTCTTGTTGTTGCCATTTCTAAACCGGAAGTTTCTAGGAAAAATATTTACCTGGAATTGGGCCAGACCAGAAGTGTCAGTTTTTCCAGCTTCTTGGGGTGAAAAGGTTGACAATAAGACGGGGGAAAAAAACCGTTGCGTAAGTAGATGCTAATTGTTGGTTTTTGTTGTTTGTTTTCAGTGAAAAAGTCCCAGAAGTTTCCCCAAGGATGACCACCAAGTTGATATTTCGTGCTGTGAACTTGGGCAGTGTTGAGTCAGTGAAAGATTTGCTGGCAAGGACAGAAGGAGTGACTAACGTAAGCATGCCATTTTTTGCAGACTCCATTTATTGTCGCTGTTCTTTGATAGTGTTGGCTGCAGATCTTCTTGTTTTCTTTACTGTTTTTCATCTTAGGAGGGCAGATGTCCTTTGAAAGCTTGTTTTTGAATATAATGTGTATTATGCTTCTTTCTGTTGTAAGTAGTTACTTGTGTTCATTGTATATTGGTTAAACCACACTCCTTTGGCCAGTTCTTGACTGTTTTTCATCTTTGGAGGGCAGATGTCCTTTGCAAGCTTGTTTTTGAATATAAGTTAATGTGTCTTGTGCTCTTTTCTATTGTAAGTACTTACTTGTGGTCACTGTATGTTGGATAAATCACCCTCCTTTGGCTAGGCACTGTGTAAATGATGAATAAACATTTAAGCAATGTATGTTTTAAGTATTTGAAATGGGAAACACATGAGTTGAGGAAAATGAGGAATGTCTAAGAGAGATGTTGATGAGAGGGACCAAAAGTGCTAGATGGGATTTCATACATATGAAAACGATTTTACAGAATAGAACACAATATATGAATAACTATGAGCTTTATGTGATGTATAAACAGAAGACAACTAAGAAAGCTTGGCATGAAACTGGTGACCTCATTCCATAGAAATGTAGCTACAGAATCCAAACAGTCAGCTCTGTCTGTTGTCTTTTCCAAATGTTCTCGGCATCCCTTGATTTTTTCTCTTTTGCTCTATAGGTTCATCTGCAATGGTATATTTGTGTTCTGCTTGTGGTTTCCAGGGCTCCATTTTGGGAATGAAACAGAATAGAAAGTGAGGGCATCCAAGAGAAATCCTCAGACAGACACGTTGATGAGAGGGGCAAAACTTACTAGACTAGATTTCATCTATACATATAGAAAATATTGCGTGGGATAGAACGGGATGGAAGAATTGACTGCAAACCATGTGTGCCATATAACAACAGGGTGATAATAATGATATTGTTTAACCTTTCTGTTTTTAATTTATAACAGTTTGCGATCCCACGTGCAGCGTTCGATGGTAGGAACAGCACTGGATTTTGCTGTTCAGCAAGCAAAGGGGGAGATTGTTCAACTTTTGACCCATGAACATTTTGAAACAGATGCGAAGCTGAAGAAGGAGAGGAAGGCCCCACCAGCTTGTATTATTTCAGCTACTGGCACAGGAAAGTAAGTACTTAGTTAATTGTTTTTTATAATTTCGACTCTTGTGATTGTATAACCATTATCTTCAGCTTTCTGCTTGCTTGAGAACCAGCCGCACACATATGTCATGATTGTAACTGACTCACAGAGCATGTTAAGAAAAGTGAAGACAGGCATGCTCAGTGCAAGTGGCAAGCATTACTTCAGAGCTGTTGGATAGTTAGGGTTAATTGGATATTTTGTCTGGGGGTGCTCAGGTGTGTTGAGAAATGAACAGGGAGACAGACTGGCTCATTCTGCACCAATTGGTGGTGACCTTTTGCGTGATGACATCTGCAAAATGAGATGGAAATCTTTTTATGGTGTAGTTAGAATGGACAGTGAGTTTATCATAAATATTCGGAATAAATGCATTGGCTGCGTTAAAACTTTTTAAAATTAGAAAATGTAGATTATAAAGGCAGTAGAGGTGACCACAACAATATAATCATTTAATGTCTCATTAATCGGTGTGACTAAAATTTACCTTAAAAAAAATCTTTTCTTCATGAAGAACTTTTGCTGCATTAGCCCTTTAAAGAATGGTTTGCCTGTTGTGTTGTGGTTTACAGTTAGGCTGTGGCATCTGCGCCTGTTGGTACAACACATCCAATTCTAACAAAACCTGAATTAGTTGCCTTTTATAACTTACTTGTTGTACGTGTCGGTTTCCGGGGCCCATGGTACGGGGAAAAATGAATAGATCCACCACTTCAACGGTCTGTACTACGGAAGGTTCCAAATGGACAAATGTGGCATGAGTGGATACCAAGCATAAGCACATCAACATTACATTGATGTACATGTACTGTCCGGGATATGCAAGGGTGCGAGGGAACGAAAGAGCAGATTTTTTGGCTACAGGAATACTCACATTGCACAAAAGAGACATCTTAAGACCATTTATTAACGAATGCTGACAGAAGACATTAGATGAAATAACCTTTGTAAGAATGTGTGAACATGGTATAAGGAGTGGATCTGGCAAGGAGGGACATATGAGAACAAGAGAACGGCATGTATATAATCAGTGGGCTACAGGAACAGTTAGCATCTATACCTTAAGACATTAATTGAGGGAGATGGAGCATCTGTGAGCATGATGCCCATTGTGCTAGGAAGTCAGTAATCAGTAAGTAACATCCCACTGTAACTGTCTACTTAGCAGTGGAATCTTTCAGACATTCTGGAAAAATTTTTTTGGGATCAAATGCAAATGTTTTGAACAATTTTATATAAAGAAAGGACATTTCATTTTTGTCTTCCTCTTTATTAAAAAAAATGTTCAATTGAGAATTGACATCGCAGCACTTGGCATTCCCATAAGCGCTCCGCACCATCTTAGCAGCAAGCACAGTGTTCTTATTCTGATGGGTCCAGTAGCAGTCTGATTGCATATTTATTTTGCCATTCCTCTGAGTGTTGAGCATTGGTCAGATCCCTGTTTAAAAATATTTCTTATATTGGATAGGTTCACATTAAAAACAAAAAATATGAGTTTAAATGCATTTCTTTGGTAATTGTTTGTGCTATACTGTATGCTGTATATTTTTTTCTGTCTCTTTCAGCTACAATCCGTTGTCTCTTGGAATTAAGCAAATTAGAGTTTTGAATATGAGCAGAGGAGGGAAAGAAGGAGACAATGCATTTGTAAATGTAAGATTTTGTCTTGACATCCTTAAAAAGGAATTTGTGCTTGCAAATGTTAACCAATGCTATTCTGTTACGCAAGTTAGTTAGTTATTCGACAGAATATCCTCATTGCACATCGAAACATTCAGTCCATAAGTGCTTGGATCTCTCCCTAATGAATCCCGTGTTGTGTAGCGGCTCATGACACTAGTTCTGTGTTGATTTCTTATTCTTCTTTGGCTTTCTGCATAGCAATCATGTCCGGCCACACCCCTTGTAATATCTTATTCTTGCAGTCTGGTCATGGTTTCATATTCAAAATCATCACTTGGTTCTCGCAAATGTCTTACTTCTCGTAGAGCATTCAGAATATCAGCATGGTCCATGGCTCTCCGCCCTCCACATTAGCTTTACCTGCAAGCCGATCGGCTTGCTCATTTCCTTGCACACCTGCGTTCCCTGGCACAGAAATGAAACTGATATGTGTTAAACTCAACCGCTCTAGAGACTCCAACCACTGTCTTCTGACCCAGCTCTTCTCCACCTTCCTGAGCATACTCACTGAGTTACTGAGAAAGCATGCATGGGGAAAAGGTCTGTCTCCAGCTATGTTTTTGCTTTGGTTACACTGAAACACTCACTGTTCTCAGTAATTACTACTTTCTTTGAACAAAGGAAACACAAGCAGCAGATTGCACAGAATTTTGCCTGCCATATATTACTCTATCTCATCTGGCGCATTTTTCAGTAACAGAGTTAAATATATAAACAAATCTGTTTAAACTGAAAAACAGATATCCGCCACATTCGGTGTACTGCCTGTTTTAATAGGGTAAACACAAGTTTACAACCATGTAGCAACAACTGCTTCAGCAAACAGAAGGAAGCTACAAGCTCTGGTTTTGTGTGTGTGCTGTATTTGGGAGTATTGAGTGTTGCATGTGTAGTTGCTTAGAAACATATAACATTCTCCTTCGGATCAGTTTGAGACGCATCAGACCTGAGACCCACTGTGAGTTAGGGTTGGGGGGGGCGCCACTGTCACATCATAGGCAATCCCCCTGTGGGTTCCAGGGCCCCATTGTGGGTGGTGATGTAGAAGAATTTCGTAATAGTAGACTAATTAATGATGGTTCCTTTGAAGTCGGAGTGCATCTGCCTTTGACGGTTCTTACAATTCTAGAACTAAATGCTGGAATGGAACTGTGTACCTCGGAATTACATCTGCATTCACAGTCCATACGCTACAGATGTTGATTCTTTATGATCACTATGTAAATTTAAATAGTTTTTTGTGTGCACAGAATCTTTTGGATGAAAATGCAGATTTACACCTTTTTGTGTAGGATCTTTCAAAAAGCAATGTAGATTTACATCTGATTTCATACAGGATCTTTATGAAGGCAGTGAAGGTTTACACATTTATTTCCTACAGGATCTTTATGAAGGCAGTGTATATGTACATTTGATTTCCTACAGGATCTTTATGAAGGCAGTGTAGATGTACATTTGATTTCCTACAGGATCTTTATGAAGGCAGTGTAGATTTACATTTGATTTCCTACATGATCTTTATGAAGGCAGTGTAGATGTACATTTGATTTCCTACAGGATCTTTATGAAGGCAATGTAGATTTACATTTTATTTCCTACAGGATCTTTATGAAGGCAATGTGGATTTACACCTTATCAAAAACTGGATGGAGTATGGAGTTTCTGTTGACACACTGGAAACATTTTTGCTGGCGTTGTCGTCTGCTACGAAAACAACACGTGACGAGCAGGTACTTGTACAAGCATCTACATTTTGTGATACTATGCTGATGAAAACATATGCCTTTTAACATGTACAAGCATCTATGTTTTGTGATACTATGCTGATGAACAAATATGCCTTTTAACATGTACAAGCATCTATGTTTTGTGATACTATGCTGATGAACAAATATGCCTTTTAACATGTACAAGCATCTATGTTTTGTGATACTATGCTGATGAACAAATATGCCTTTTAACATGTACAAGCATCTATGTTTTGTGATACTATGCTGATGAACAAATATGCCTTTTAACATGTACAAGCATCTATGTTTTGTGATACTATGCTGATGAACAAATATGCCTTTTAACATGTACAGGCATCTACGTTTTGTGATACTATGCTGATGAACAAATATGCCTTTTAACATGTACAAGCATCTATGTTTTGTGATACTATGCTGATGAACAAATGTGCCTTTTAACATGTACAAGCATCTATGTTTTGTGATACTATGCTGATGAACAAATATGCCTTTTAACATGTACAAGCATCTATGTTTTGTGATACTATGCTGATGAACAAATATGCCTTTTAACATGTACAAGCATCTACGTTTTGTGATACTATGCTGATGAACAAATATGCCTTTTTAATTTCTTTATTTCATTGTACATTGTTGAGATTATCTTCTTCGCACATTGGACATAACCATAAGTGCTCCGATCTTCTCCAAGTGTTTTTAGGCTAACAACTCTTATTCTGTTCTGGTTGATATAAAGACGGGTGGCTTCTGCTTTGTTTTCCTATCTCGCTGCTCCAGTTGGTATACCCAGTGTATGCAGTCTCTTCAGTGATAAATCATTTTCTATGAAACTGAAAGCCTCATGTGGCATTGATGATGTCTCTCCTGTTCATAGAGGGTCCATCCCTGATAGTCACACGGCATTTAGTCTCTCATGTGGCATTGATGATGTCTCTCCTGTCCATAGAGGGTCCATCCCTGATAGTCACATGGCATTTAGTCTCTCATGTGGCATTGATGATGTCTCTCCTGTCCATAGAGGGTCCATCCCTGATAGTCACATGGCATTTAGTCTCTCATGTGGCATTGAATATGTCTCTCCTGTCCATAGAGGGCCCATCCCTGATAGTCGCACTGCCAGCCAGGGCATCTGCTGTCTCATTGCCTTTCACACCAGCATGCCTAGGAAAAAAAATGAAAGGTGATTTTGCGAAAGGCTGAGTGCTGTATCAAATGGAGCCACTGTTTTCATATGTATCCCACCTTGATCTTCTGTATCATGCAAACATGCATTGGTGAACTCCTGAGTTTTCAGCCTTTCTAGGGCCTTTGTCACAGCCACAACCTCCATTGTAGAAGCAAAAGCTCCACTGTGTCTTTTTTTTAATGACTTTCCCTTTGCTTGTTGTCGTGAAAGACCATGCACTTCGTTTCTGACGAATCACAGAACCATCTGTTTATATAACATCTTCCAGTGGTGTGTGTTCCTCCATCAACTATTGGTGGTGCCAGTCACGGCACTGTTTTGTCAGGGTGATAAACACTACAAAGTACTGCTTGTATTCATTTGGTATGGGTATCCATTCCTCTCCACGGTTTATATATCTTGAAGGGAAATCACCTGTTGAAGTACTGACTCTGCCCAGCCCAACCAAAACTGGCCCCGTTTAAGCCTGTTGCCTTTAAGGTTTATTTAGTTCATCGTGCAGTGGGTGTGTAAAGTTCTCAGTGATTTTGAGGTTGTCACACGCTTGGCGCATTTCAGACCTGCTGTTTATATCTGGAAGATCTAGAACATATCTCATTGCTCTACATGATGTGTCTTTGATGCAGCCAAGTATGGTGCACATGGCTTCATTTTGTACTTTTTCCAGTCTGTTGATTTGTGTCTTGCTGAGGTTGATGATTGCCAGTGCATATTCTATGACAGAGAGGATCAAATCCTAATAGAGGATGACTAAAAGCCTATGTTGACCACACAAGGCAGCCGTAACATATTATAGCATCATATATCAACTCCGCATTTATGGAAGCCTCCTTGGATGACTAGGAATGCTCCTTGGATGGCAGAGAATGCTCTAGATCTGCCTGTCTTCTCTTTAGAGTCAACTAGAATTACGTAGCTACTCTGGACTGGAAATATTTTGGTTTGTCTTGCATGCATTCTTAAAATTTCATTTTGTGTGTGGTGCTGATTGTAATGTCTTCTCATCTTGTCTTCTACCTTGGTACTTTCAGTAATTTCTGAAGCAAATGCCTCTTCATACCATGATGTTAAATTGTCTAGTATCTTTTCTTTTGGTTCTCCTCTCTTCCACTGCACATTTTCTGTTGTCACGACCTACTCCAGTTTCCCCTTCTTGTGATTATGTAAGCAAAGAAATATATTTTTTGATGTAGAAAATCAGTTTTCTTCATGGGAAGCTAAGCTAGCAATAAATTCCTGAAGTCGGATGTGTCATCCGACAGGCGCAAATGTTGTAGATGTGAGAGGCACAACACATCTACATCCTTGGGTGAATGCAAAAGAAAAGTTGGTTCTTAATTTATAACCTACCCCAAACACGAAATCCCCGTAGGAAATCCAAAGCTGACCTGACAGTCCATTATTTCAAGGGGTGGAAGTGTGCTGTTGTGTGGTTTTATTTTTGAGTGTTCATCTGTCTATTGTGCCAACTTCCTAACATCTAGTACTTGGCTGTAGATAAATCGCGAGAAACTACAACCTTGACACCCTAGAATTTTATTTGGAATGTCATCCCGTTGCGTTGTCGTGACGTCAGGGGTAACTTCTTTAATAAATTAAGTGCTGTTAAAAAGTTATCTTCTTTGGATCAGAATTTCTCGAGGAGGATCTACAATTCCCTTTTTGTGTGTGTGTGTGTTGTCCATGCTGTTCTCATAATTTGTCTATAAAACCACATCTCTGCTGCTTCATCATAATTTTTTAATTGACTGATTGCCCATCATTTACTTCCTCACATCAGGTGGAATAGCTCTGTATAACTCTTAAGAGTGTTTTATCACATCAGTTGACAGACATTTTGAAAAAAATATTCTTAATTTGTTTGATGCTACTATTGCTTTAGCTGTTCTACAATTAACTTCTTTAATACATCTTCCATTTTCTTTGTAATTATCATCTGTTGGGATACCTTTTCACTTTGATTTCTCAGAGTGCATTTACCGAAGGCAATTCTAACAACCAAATTGCACACTAATAAGCCAGTAAAACGGATGTACACGCAAACTCAGGCCCTGGCACAAAGCCAGAGTCCTGGTGGACGAACAACCAGGACTTTCTGCCAGAGTTTACAGCTGGTGAACAAAGAAGAAGAAGAAAATATTCTTAACTTTTTGAAATATACTTTTGCTTGAGCTATTCTGTAATTCATGGAGTGCTCTTTTCTTCTCATTTATCAAGATACCTAGGGTACTATGCCCGTATGTCACTGGGGAATCACAGGAAATAAGAATAGTGACACTTAAACCCTACCAGGCATGCTTTAAGGGGCGACTAAGGATATGGTTGGGCTTGGGGTTGGCTACCTCATCCATAAAAACAATAGCCACATTATCATTACAACTTTTAGATAAGTCAAAAAGAGAAGTGTTCAACCCTTTCTAAACCTAAAATGAGGGAAAGTAATTTCAAGTAGAAGAAGTAAATGTGTTTTGCAGAAAGCTTAAAGGATGTCCGGATCCCCATAAATACCTCCTCTCAGCTAGGAAAACCTCCAGAATTGGCACCTGGAATAATAAAGAAAGGCCAAAAAACACATGGAGAAGAGAGCTGGATAATGAAGTTAGAAAGATAGGGAGGAAATGGGGGAGAGCTCCATGTAATAGCAAAGTATAGAACAACTTGGCGTGAGTTGGTTATGGGCCTCAGTCTAATCAGGGGATAGAAAGGCTCTTCTATTCTTCTAGGGTGTTATCCAACTCTTATTTGGTTATGCCTTCTCATCTCATCTTCTGCCTTGGTACTTTCAGTCATTTCTGTCACAAATGCTTCTTCATGCCAGTTACTCTGGGAGTAAAGCATGAGGAAGTACCTGTATGCCAGCTTCAAGGTCAAGATAATATGCATTATATAACCAGCTGCTCATGGGAACAATCCATAGAAGTACCTTGGAGTGGCTGCTGCATCTGAGGACTGAGCATGCATGGGATTGCCCATGGTGCAGTGATGTTGATTGTGATAACATAACATTCACCAGCTCATGCCAAAGTGTCCTGACATTTTGCTTTCACCACACATCTTCCCATCTTTTTCACTGCACTTGCTAATTCATTTCTCCATACCTGTTTTTGATCACCTAACCCTGTGGGTTGCAGGGCAACCAATTTTAATTTAAATGCAAGTTTGCTGAATGTGCACACTTTCCACTGTCCATGTGTTTGTTTTACATTTTGGTTCACTAACATTTGTTAAGATCTCTCGAAAGTTCTGCATTAGTGATTCTGGCATACCATTTAATTCCCTCAGTTCTGTGCAGACACAGGTTAATGAATATTTGCAGTTTGATCATAATTCTCTCCCCCCTCCCCCCATCCCCCAGTGTTTGCCATGTTTCATCTCCATACAGTATTACTGATTTGACATTAGACATAAGATTATTAGAATTACTAACTCTCTGACAGTGGTTACTTCAACACCTTTCTGTCCCAAAGTTTGGACACTTTAGAGTAACAGACAAAAAAAAAGCCAGATCTGTGAAACGTGTGTGTATGCAATGCTCAGGTTTTGGAACAAGGCTGAAGTCCGGAGGTGGGCGAAAACCCAGAACTTCTGCTGGAGTTTACACCAGGGGAACACAAAGACAACAAAGAAGTATGCACACTGTTGATTCCTCACCTCTCAGGCAAGATGTACTCCAACTTTGAAGGACACATCCCTAATTAGTTGACTCTCGGGACATGCTTGTTGGGGGGCAGTGGATCTGTTCCCTCCCCCCCTCCCAATGGGGCTCTGGAACCAACAGAGGGACTTTGTTCTTGTAATTGATCAGGTTATTAAACATTTAGTGTGTTGGGAAATGAGCAGGTAGATAGACTGCCATGTTCTGCATCACTTGGTGGTGAATTGATGTAAGACAAGCTAGATATTGTGAGGGTTCTTAGGGAGCGAGTGAACAGTGCAGATGCACAAAAAATCAATACGGTCTGAGGAGAATGGCGCTGCGAGGAGTAACCTGGGGTCTGGCCAACATTCAGTGCTCAAGGGAAAGGCAAGACTGATATAAAAATCAGTTACTGTGCCATCGGGATTGCAACTCTTCGCTTGCTGCTGAAGATGGGGGATGGAGCTATTATGGGAGTGTCCAGAGTGCTGTAATGTTGATTCTTAATTCAACATTCAAGAAATGTTTTAGTAAATAAATATGTAACACAGATACAGAAATCGAGATGTTATAGAAATACTAATTCTCTAAATTTTTAAAATTGTGTATTCTATAGGTCCTTCACATTTGAAAAGGAAGATCTCAGAGACATCATTTTGGCAGCATCTGTTCGCAAAAAGCCTTTTTCAAATGACGCTGTAAGTTCTAGTAGAATGCAGTTTGTAGCATAGAACCAATTAGTTACACATGACTTTGATAGCAAGAAAGTGATGATGTTGTAAAATATCTTCCATTAGTTCAAATTCTCGTACACAAAACATGAATCATTTATCTACTGCGTATGTATTTTTTGTGTGTAGTTAACAGTTGTTATTAAATGAAGTGGTAAATCTTCATACAGTGCAGACAGCTTAAGTTGATTTTAGATGTAACAGACTCTGTTGTTAAGACATTTTCTTTATCCCCTGCAATTTTTCATACTGGAATTCTATCTGGATACGAGGAATTTCTGATAAAAAGAACAATTTCTTGAGTCCCCGATGTTCTCCATATCAGATCTGCACTTTACAAAGTTAGCAATAATTTGAGCATTCTGTAGCATGCTATTTTAAGCGTAAAATACCTTTCTTTAAACAGCGTTTCTCAAACTAGAAGAGATGTATGTAGTGTAAATTAGAAGTGGGGAACCAACAGTCTGTACATAAATAAGCAAAACTCAGTTCCTGAATCGACCAAAGTCCAGAAGTAAAGGGACAACCAGGACTTTCCGTTGGAATTTACAACCAGTGAACATGAAGAAGAAGGATGCTGTTTCTGTTCGCTACCGATTTTAGTGGGGTGAAATTATTTCTTATTCCTTCACTTGTTATAATATTAGTATGTACTATGACTGTGTAAAATAGCTATATTGTTGTTGTCGATCCAGCGGCGCATGCGCTTTCATTCTCTGACCCAGTGCCATGTAGTGGAATTTGCATGTTTCACAGACTTTTTTCCCCCCTCCATACAAGATGTTCCACTTAAAATAGCTAAATTAATCTTCAACAAATGCCTTGCCATCTCAGATGGGCAGTCATGCTTATCAGTATCTTGTAATCTGCAGCAGCATGTGTCAGAAGGAATGCTGATATCTTTCACAGCCGTGATAACTGGCTCATAAGAATCTTCTCTCGTTGCCTACTTCTTTTTCTTACCTTAAATCTTTCCTGTTGTCATTATTCCAGTTTTTCTTTTCTCTTAACGTGGTCTGCAAATTATGACTGCCCTTTTCTGATTTCTGATAAATAACTGTAAAAATACAAGTGCAAATATACTTTTCTCTCTTCCTCCTCCTCTTCCTTCTCTTCACCTTGCTCCTCTTCCTCATCCTCTTCTTTCTCTTCCTTCCTGTCTTCCTCCTTCTCCTTTCACTTGTTCTGCATTCTTGGCCCTTAAAGTTTCATTGCTGCAGATGTCACCCATCTCTGTTCATTCCTGATTGGCCTTCTCTTTCCTGTTAATTTGTAAATGTGTCTGCCTATTGTTTTTTTTTTTAAACCCCCCCCCCCCCCCATGTTTCGGAAAGCCCTGGTGTTTGTGATGCACCCGCAGTAAGAAGTCTTAAATTTACCTTCGTGTCTGCTACCTGTTCACAGATCACCCCGCTCCACTGTGCAGCAATCAACCCGAATGTCAAGTACATCACTCGGCTTCTGTCTATTGAGCCTGACATCAACATTCAAACTCAGTCTCGAGCTCGTCCCATCCATTTTGCAGCAGCGTGCGAAGGGTCTGCACCACTCGAGTTTCTCCTGAAAAGGTAAATCCTGTCTTTGAAAGATGAGCCTACTTAATGTTTCTGTGAATATGTAAATCACCAAAAGGCTAAATCCTTGTTTCTCTGTTTAGCTGTGTGAAAAGTATTTTAGCAGAAAATTTACCTGGATATGAGTGTTCAGGATATGAGGTCAGACTTGCCAATTTATTTTGTGTGTGCCCCAGAATGCGAGGTGAAATTCAGGATGCCAGCTGGATTCTATTTTATCTGTCTGTCTATATCCATATCCCTAAAAGAAGAAGTATGTGAGTTTGTATTTAAGCTGTATATTGAACGTTATGCAAAACAAACTGAAGTATAGTAAATGGGTTTGAATTTAATTCAGTCTTACCCTACAAAGCTTAACCAAGGTACAATAAGTGAGTTTAATGTATTTAATTTATTTAAAGTGCATTATGAAGTCTTACTGAACAACAGTTTATGTGTGCATAAAAAAAATGTCAATACTGTACATTATACAGAGCTTACTGAGATACAAAAATGCTTATATTTAACTATTATATTGTACATTATACAGAGCTTATTGAGATACAAAAATGCTTATATTTAACTATTATAGTGTACATTATCCTTAAAGAGCATGCATCTTTCCCATTGCAACAAACGCCTGTGAGACCTGGACACTTACTAAACAAGCGGAACAGCGCATAAATGCATTTGAATATAAATGTTACAGACAGGTTCTAAGAATATCTTGGGTAAAGAAAAGAACAAATGCATCCATACTTCAAGAGCTGAATATTGAAGAGGGTTGGCTAGTAAAGACAATAAAACAAAGAAAATTGAAATATTTTGGTCACTTGAAACGTCATGGAAGTCTAGAGAGAACAATAATGGAGGGGTATATGCCTGGGAAGAGAGGAAGAGGAAGGCCAAGGAGAAGATGGGTGCAGGATGTGGCAGATGATCTCCAGATGGGTGTATCAGACGCAGGACATCTTGCTCATGATAGGAAGGTTTTCCGGAGGGTTGTTATGGCAGCGAGGTTCCGCGAGGGACATGCTACTGAATGAATGAATGAATGAGTGTACATTATATGAAACTTACTGAGGTATAGTTGTGTTTATAGTTAACTAATACACTAAACCTTATGCAAAGCTTACTAAGATGCATTATATAATGAGTTTGTGTGTTTAATGAATATACTGTATACTACAAAGCATTTGGTGTGTGATGTAGTGTTATTGTGACACTGGTCGCCTTTACTTCCTAAAATATGTCATGGTATCTGTTTAAGGCTTCTTGGGAGTCAGTCAGTTTCAGAATTACTGAAACAAAAGCATGTTGTAAGAGTCAACTAATTAGGAGCTTCCTTTAAAGTTGGAGTGCATCTGCCTGAGAGGCAAGGAACCAACAGTCTGCACACAAATCAGATCTGTCAAACGGATGCACACGCAAAACTCAGGTTTTGAAACAAGTCTAGTTCATAAGTGGATGAACAACCAGAACTTTCCATCAGAGTTTACACAGCTGGTGAAGGTGAAGAAGAAGAAGAATTACTGGGGATCTAAACCTGTGACCGCTGGGTCAGCTGGAATGCTACCTCTATTGTAGTTTTATGTGTAAAGAATTACCCTATATTAATATCTGGGTGTCTCCATAAGTAGGAAAACTAAACATACAACCATATCACCCACACCATTACAAGCATAATTCCAGCTGTGCTTACGACATGTTCTTCAGAAATGAGGGACAGTTTGCAAAGCAATGGTATCTTTACTGTGTATGGAAATTTATGGGACATTGTAAACATGATCATTTGTTGGCACAGTTTTCTCTCAGTGAATTTACAGAGTATTTTTCTCGCCGACATTGCTTTTTCAGAAATGCAGGTGTTAATGATGCAGACAGCAAGGGAGATTTGCCGATTCATTATGCTGCGCGCAGCGGCCGCTCTAAGAATATAGATGTTCTTATGAAGCATGCAAAATCAAATGGTAAGTTTAATTTAATTGTATTACTAGTTGTTCTTGCTTGAGATAATTGATGCACGACAAGCTAGATTCGGTTAAGGCCCTTTAAAAAAAGGTCAGCAGTGTGGAAGCACTAATAGATTATTATGGTCTGGTGAGACTATTGCAGTGATCATTGACTAGGGGAATCTGATCGACATTCTGCAGCCAGTGGAAAGGTAAAGTAAAGGACCCCTTTCCACTCCTTCAGGTGTTATTATGCATATAGATGCTGTAGCCTGCAGATCTGAAGGTCATGAGTTTAGGTACTGACAGAGCCGGACTTTTTTTTCTTTCTTTTAAAATGATCTTGGCTCCTAGGTTGACCCAGCCTTAAATGGGTGCCATTTAACATCCTGGGAAGTAAAAGTGTCTGGTACGATGTTGACCACATCACCCACTAAGTGCTGATTGCTCTATAAAATATAGGTCCAGCCCTATATGCCCAATAGGTCTGAAGGCGTAGAAAAGGGTCTTAGACTTACTTTACTATTAATTACATAAATATAATATGCCATTAATATATTACACAGGACTCAGAGTAGATGGTTCCATTCTGTTCTGTCCTATGCAATGTCTTCTATCACGTATGCAATCTAGTCTGGCGCCTCTTTCATCTTTTGTGGTAGGGTTTCTCTCGGACCTGGATTTCCTTGCTTCCTCATAACAATTTGCTTCCCATTTCAGTGCCTGTGAGAAGTCTTGAGCATGCACGTTAAAAAAAAAGCACGGAACAATGACAAGAAGTATTTTTGATATATAGTTAAGTAGTTTTCAGAAATTTCATCCACTAACAATTTCAGTTTCAGAAGACATTCAGTTGGATAAGTGGGGCCTTGGCATGATCAACAAGCCTAACCGCTTTGCGTTTTGTCCAGTGCATATGGCTGTTGAAGGGGGACATTTGGTAAGTTCCTTTATGTAACACACACACCCCACCGAAATGTGACAAATACAGGCAGTAATGGCCGTTTCTTTTGGCTGTATGTTGTTAGAAAAATGAACATTAGAAAATCATGAACATAAATATCTACGTTTCTGAATTGTGTGGGAAGTAATTTAGTCGCCAACTTGGGACTTTTTGTAGGGTAACTTTTTTTTTTCCTGGACTGTGATATTTGTTGAGTAATACCTTACTGTTATTATTTTCCACATTTCTGTTTCTGTCAAGGTTTGGATTACCTTGAAGTTGTTTATAGGAAATAGCAGTCTTTGCCTATTTGTTAAGGGTCGGTGAGTGGCAGTATCTCTTATTTTGTATGATATGTTAAAGTGTAGTTTGCTTGTTTATAAGAATAAATATAGTAGTATCTCCAGGCTCACCATCTTTTAGACACAATTTAATGTGTTGTGTGTTTGTATGTCATTTTTAGGCTTATCAGTGTTTTCTTTGCAGATAAAAAGTTGCTCTCATTTCTCAGTAGCATTTGTCAGTTTGTAGAGTGTTGGCTTGATATTGTCATTATTTACAGGATGCCCTGCGGACTTTGATCAAGCACGGTGTTGATGTGAATAAGCCCTTGTCTGCAAGCAGAGACAAGATCACCCCTTTGATGATAGCAGCACAGAGGGGGGACTTGAACATTGCTAGGACGCTTGTTCAGAGTGGAGCGGCCGTGGAGCTTTTAGGTGAGCAGCTGTAAAGAATGTGTTAGTAGTTTAAAAGAAAAAAATCAAGCAACAGTCAGCCATGTGCATATGACACTGTGCGTCTGTGGCTTGTGCGTTAAAAACATGCATTGTAATGTTCCGGGTTCAATCCCAGCTGCAGGCAATTTGGCAGCAGACCGTCTTGCATGGGTTTCGACAGCGGTATCGAGAGTCGACTGTTCAGGAGCAATGGCAAACTACTGAGCGTAAATTTGCCTAGAAAAACCACAACAGACCCAAAAAAATAAATTTGCCAGGGTGGGTTTTGCAATATCCTGTAAAGGATACACAACTGACTTATATGATACTAGATCCATATTTGTGTAGACCAGTTTATATATATATATATATATATATATATATATATATATATATATATATATATATATATATATATATATATATATATATATATATATATATATATATATATATATATATATATATATATATATATATATATATTTGAAGCACTATTCACAATCTCTGAAATGTAATTTGGCTTCTGAAGAGAACCATTTTGTTAGGGATGTTAATGGCGATGTCTAGTTTATTTCTTTAAAAAAAAAATTATATCGCTCTAATTACACTACTTTATGTATATATTTATATGTGTATGTATGTATATATACATATATATATATGTATATATATGTAGACACATCTTTTATTTGTTCGTAAAGTAAAGGTCCCTTTTCCACACTTTTAGGCATATTGGGAATACAGGGCTAGACCTATATTTTTATAGACTAATCGGCACTTGGTGTGTGATGTGGTCAGTATCACGCCGGCCGCCTTTACTTCACAACACTGCACCTGGTACCCACTCAAGGCTAGATAAATCTGGAAGTCGGGGTCATAAAAAAAAAGTGCGACTCTGTCAGGATGCAAACCCACAACCTTCTGATCCGCAGGCGGTTTTATGTGTTCATGCTTTACTGAAAAAAAAAATGCTTTTGTTTCTTTTTGTTTTCAGATAAAAAGAAGCGCTCGGCTCTAACACATGCTATCATTAATGGAAGTACAAATGTTGCTTCATACCTTCTGTACTTGGGAGCTGACCCTAATCGTGCAGATTCATCCAACAACACACTTGTGCATTACGCAGCTGCCTATGGATGGTATTTTTGTCTGAAACTGCTCATTAAGGATGCAGGAGCCAAGCCAGATGAGCCCAATGACTGGCAGGTAAAATGATGAAAGAAAGCAAACTTTTGTAGTTTGCATCGCATTGTTTAAAATATTAGTGATATATGAGCAGCCATTCGGGAGGATACTAGACTTATCCTAGGAAGAGGAAATGCAACCTTCTTTTTTTTTGTCTACTCTGGAATGCCTTGCGGCATCAGGACATAAAGAGATCTCTGGAACAGGCCCTTCTGTTTGCTTTGTATGCAGCCTGAATACTGAATGTTATGGAAGAACAGATCAGGCTCTTAGCCCTGGCTGGCATCTGGTCTAGGAGGGAAGCTCTGACAGTTGGACAGATAGAGCACTGCTCTTCTGATCTGGCAGTTTCCTCAGTGTGCTTTGTTCCCGACGTATGGGTGTTACCTTTCTTTTGGAGTAAACAAGGCAGGCAGAGCAAGCGAGCGATCGTGAGGCATGGGCAACACATGGTCTCTACAATACTGCCAAGGCTTTGTGCTATGGAAAGGTCCTGAAATCCCATGCTCTGACCGAGGAAGACACTGGCCGGTCTTGCTGGCCACACACACACACCATCGCCATGGGCTGCGATTCTCATACCTTCCCATAGCATAGTACAGCACTGTTGTTTGGAAAGATGGAAAGCTGCCAGTAGATATATATGATCATGTTACCTGTGTGGGTTCTGGGGCCCAGTTATGGGAAAACAAGAATAGACCCACTGCCTCCAAGCAGGCATGTCATAAGAATCTACTAATTGGGGGCTTCCTTTGAAGTCAGAGTGCATGTGCCTGAAATGCAAGGAACCAACAATCTGCATACAATTAAGTCAGATCTGTTTAATGGATGGGCACGCAACACTCAGGTTCTGGAACAAGAACTAAGTCCAAAGGTGGACAAACCAGAACTTTGTGCCGGAGTTTACAGCCGGTGAACGCGAAGAAGAAGAAGAAGAAGAGAAAATGAGCATGTTTTGATAATAGCATGGCACTGCTTTTGCTAAATATTTTTTAAGATTTAAGTATTACCAGTCAGGGGTCTCCATAGCTAAGTGAGTTAGCTGTTACCTTAAGCTCTGAAGGTTAGAGGGTCGTTTTATTAACGGTGTCAACAGGTACAATTGTTAGAAAATCCCTGGGTTCCATCGCTGGAGCTACAGTGTTTCTGCTTATTGTGATGCTGTCGAGATGTATAACAAAACAGTTCAATTGTGTCTTCGCTGATTCAGGAAAAGAATTACTAACGTGTCCTAATTAATTTAAGAAAAATATATTTGCAGTTATATATCTTGAGTGATTTAAAAAAGTGTACAGATATATGTTCGCTATATCCTCCATTTGGGTTCTGGGGCCCCACTGCTATTATAACAAACCTGCCGTAAGAGATGGCTTACTAAGGAAATGAGATGGGTTAGACTGAAAAGCTCAGATATCGCAACATTGCTGTAAACCATAACACACCATGCCAACTGGCTTTTCAAAGTTGAAGAAGACATTCCTATTTTAAGCATTACAAATTCCTTTCTTCCATATCTCTGTCTTGGGAACGAGTGAACAGTGCTAAGGCACAGATAGATCATTACGGTCTGAAGAGAATGGCACTGCGAGGAGTTACAAGGGGATCTGGCCGACGCTCGACACTCAAGGGAAAGGCGAGTCGGATATACAATGAGACAGTTACTGCTACCATTGGAATTTTAACTCTTCGCATGCTGCTGAAGATGGGGACGGAGCACTTACGGGGGTGTCCCGAGTGCTGTGATGTTGATTCTTAATTCAACATTCAACAACATTCTCTAACTTGTAAAAAAACAATTTCCATTTACAGACGACTCCAATCAATATTGCCTTTCTGAAGGGTAACCATGGACTTGTGGAGATGCTGTTCAACCATAAAGGGGTGGACATCAATTTTCAAACCAGCACTGGTAATTGTTTTGTTTTAAAAATGTTTGGACTTACTCTTTTCTGGCCTCTTCAGGCACATTGAATAAAAGCTAGCTGCATTTTGAGGACACCTGCATCTTTGACTTCATTCTCATGTTATAGAGATAGAGATTACCGTATTTTTGTATTTTTTTTGTTTTTCTTGTTAAGTATTTAGAAACCATGAGTTGTTAACCCTTTAGCTCGGTACTATGGATATCGCAACCCGTCGGCCTTGATCATATGATAGGTGCCGTAAATCTGGGAGAAATGTGGCTGTTCTGCCTACCCCCAGGCTTGAAACTGGCCCACAAGAAGTTCGTCACCCGGTTGCCGCGAAGTCAGGTTTAACCAACTACGCTAGTGAGCCGGGCTTTTGTGTGTATAAGACAGTATGTTTACTAACATAAAAAAAAAAATTTGAAATTGGGAGTTTGACTTAAGATGGAATGTGTTTAAAATATGTATTCATCAATTTTTGGCTTAAGATATATCTATATATAAATCTTATACATGGGGGCGTCTTATATATACAGGGTCATTGATGTTAACATTTATGCAACTGAGCACATGCCGTGTAAGTTTCACCTAGAGCATTTTCTGGTGATCTGTGATTCTGTGTTTGTTTGTTGGATGTCACATATCGCTGACAGTTTTTTTATTCTGCATGTCCATTTTTCATCATGTTTGATAAGCTGAATCTGTCAATTTCTAATCTTTCTGTGATACTTTTTTTTGTCATTTGCGCACAGTTAGAGTAGATAGTGTAAAAAATTTGGGACTAGCCATGTATAGAATTCAGTGGGAAAGAGGAGCAAAAACTTAAACTGGAGAAGAAAGACTATTGAGAAGCAGATTTGGGCACTGGGGGCGCACACATGCACACACACACACGGGCATGAACACACACACACACACACACACACACACAGAGATATACATATATATATGGCACTGGGCCTGTTGTTATTTTCCCCAATGGGGCTCCAAAAATTATCAATCCATTTAATGTCATTGTTTAATGACATCTCTCTCTTCATCTGTGAAATACTATGATGACTAGCACCCATGAAGTGTTGTTGTTTCAGTCCTGTTATTCCTTTGATTATTAGGTTATGGGTTGATTTGATTATTGTAAATGAAGCATGCATGCCTTTTTTGACAGGTATGACGCTGGCTTGCATCGCTTGTAGCAGTCGTTTGGTGGAAGGTTTGGACAGTCACGTCTCACATCTGATCAGGACATACAAAGCTGACCCTACTATCCGAGACCATAATGGATACAATGCTGTAAGTGAAGATTCTTGGTTTTCATTGTATAACGAGAGGCGTACATTGTGTGTGTTTTTTCTTTCTTTTCTGCCGCTTTTGTTTATTGGAAATAGGAGCCGAAAGCTGAAATCAGGAATGGGACGAACTGTTGTGCAGTGAAACAGAAGAACTGTTGTGAAATGAAACAGAGGAATGGGAAACGAAATAAGTCGGGAAATAAAGGTAGACAAATAAATAAGTTAAAAAAAATATTTACATGAAAAAGTAGGAAAATAGTTGAGTTAAAAATGTGTAAAGTCACACTACCGCTTGGAGAGGAGGAGGAAGAAGAATATAGAAGATAGTATTCTTCATTTTCTTTGCAGTCAGAATGCATCTTCCTGAAAGGTGATGAACTAACAGTTTGCACACAAATAAGGCAATCTGTAAAACTGATGTGCACAGAAAATAGTATTCTTAGGTTGATAGTATTCTTAGGTTCTTTAGAAGTTGGAGTGTGTCTATTTGAGAGGCAGGAAACAAGCAGGCTGCATATTAATAAACCAGATCTGTAAAACATATGCGCGTGCGCACGCGCGCGCGCACACACACACACACACACACACACACACCCAGCCACACACCCACCCACACACACACACGTGCACATACCACACACCACACACACACAGAGAGAGAGGGAGGGAGACGGAGAAGGACTAAAGAGGTCAGAAGTGGATGAAGAACCAGAATTTGCCGCCAGAGTTAACAGCCGGTGGATGCGAAGTAGAATAAACACATGGTGAGTTTACCAGTACTGAAAGAGTTTTAATGAATTCTAACGTTTACTCAGATTGTGTGAATTATTCTGATATGTTTTGATGATCTACTACAGCTTCATCACCTGGCAGCCAACACCGTCAAGACGAAGGGAACTTATTGGGTAAGTTGTGTATGTCATTAAAAACAATATGTGTAATTATATCTTGCCTTTATGTGTTTGTTGTTGCCTTTATTGTGTATTTCTTGCCTTTATGTATTTGTTTTTTGCTTTTATTGTTTATTTCTTGCCTTTATGTGTTTGTTTATTTTTGCTTTTATTGTTTATTTCTTGCCTATATGTGTGTGTTTATTTTTGCCTTTTATTGTTTATTTCTTGCCTTTATGTTTTTTTTTTGGCCTTGTTATTTTTTGCCTTTATTGTGTATTTCATGATTTCTTGCCTATGTGTGTTTAAATATTGTTTGTCTTTATGCTTGTTTCTATGTATGCTCAGTTACCTTTTGTCTTTTATGTGTGTTTCATTGTTTCTTGTCTTTTTTATATTACGTTATATTTTGTCTCGTGCTTGTTCCATCTGTTCTCGCTTTTTGTGCACACTAAATTATTAGTTGTCACTGTGTGTGTAATTTTGTTTTTGTGGGTGTTACATTTTTTCTTGACTCTCATCATCATCATCATCATCCTGTTGTGCCAATGACATGTCATACATGTTCAGTCTCTCCCTCTACATTCAGATTTATCCTCTGCACTCTTTTGATGGTCCTCAATGGAACGTGATCTAGCATCATTTGCTTTTCTCGGCAGTGTTCCTTGTAGGGTTTCTCTAAGGCTTGACTAATTTACTCACTCCGTTTGCTTCCCATTCCAGCACCTGTGTAGTGAAATTCTGCTCACTCCTCGGGATCCCTGCAAAATAGCACTGTCTTTGTTTTTGTTTTGTTTTTGTTTCTTTTAAGTACAGTAGTAAAGTAAAGGTCCCTTTTCCACGCCTTTAGGCATATAGGGCTAGACCTATATTTTTATAGACCATCAGCACAATATGGGGGGTCAGCCTCACTTTGGTTACTTCCCGGGGACTGCATCCGGTACCCACTCAAGGCTGGGTCGACCTGGGAGTCAAGGTCATTTTTGATAAAAAGTCTGGCGCCGCCAGGGAGCGAACCCACGATCTTCCGATCCGCATGCGAGCGTTTAGCCTCGACGGCACAGCTCATTTAAATATATTAAACGAAAATATTTTTTGTTTTATCTTTATGTGTGTTTAATTAGTCTTTTGTACATAATTATTTTATGTCTTTATATGTAATTATTTATGAACTTGAGTCTTGATTAATTAAATGTTTGGGTTTTTAAGGATCTCGAGGTTGATCCTGCGGCTATGCAGATCAGTGTCAGGATCGCAGAGATTCTCATTGAGGCGGGATGTGACCCCACTCTCCGTACCAACGAAGGGAAGACCCCAGTGATGTTAGCAATTGAGCAGGTGAAAACTGAATGTCCTAGTTTGAAGATATATTGAGTGTTTCAAATTGATCATTTATTATGTTAATTGAAGATACTTTTGCAAATAATGATACATCATCTGTCTGTTGTGTTATCACTTTTGTTCCACTACTCATGTGTGTGGCAAGGAGTTTGTTTAAAGCTGAGGAATAAAAAACATCTTAACCGAATAAAGGCTGTCCAAGCAGTCACTGATTAGCGTAAAGGTAAAGGGCCCTTTTTCACGCCTTTAGGCATATAGGGCATATAAGGTTAGACCTATATTTTTTAGACCAATCGGCACAAGATGGGTGATCTGGTCAGCATCAGGCCGTTTGCTTTTACTTCCCGGGACTGCACTCAGTACCCACTCAAGGCTGGGTTGACCTGGGAGACAAAGTCATTTTTGAAAAAGTCCTTCTCTGCTAGGGAGCGAACCCACGACCTTCCGATCGGCAGGTGAGCGTCTAGCCTCTCTGCCACGAGGACTCCCACTTATTTGTGTACAGGTTAGAATTTTAAGGTAAATAGAATTTTCAAGTAAATAAAATGAAAGCACTGCTGATTGAGCACATTTTATTTATTTTAAGACAAATGCCCCCCCCCCCCCCCCCCACACACACACACACACACACACACACACACACACACACACTCAACCCCCCAAATTAAATTTCCTGCAAAAAAAAAAAAAGATGGCTGAAATATGGTAGATCTGTAAACAGGAATGTAGTCATTAAATAATTGAGGTGGAGTATTAAGCCCATATTTTGAGACAGTTGACCGTGGGTGATGTAATCTGAATGTTCCAAAAAAATAATCTTTTGCCTGGTTTATAAAGCTAGCATGCTAGTACACTCTTATCCTCCTCCCTCCTCCTCCATCTCTGCCCCCTCTTCCTCCATCTTCTTTTCCTCCTGTTTTCTTCTTCTGTTTCTTCTCCTCCTCTTCCTCCTATTTATTTTTATTTTTTTCAGCATTGCAAGTCCTTGAGGTTGATTACTGCAAATCTCACCCGCCTCCATTCGTCTCTGATTAACCTTTTCTTTCCACTTGGTGACTCCTAGTGTTTGAAGACCTAACTGTATATTATCTACACTTTTCTTGTTCTCCCTTGCTCATAAATCCTTTAATGTTCCAGGGTCGTTGTCCATTTAAGTTAATTCTTCGTCTTCTTCTTTGCTTTCACCAGCTGTAAACTCCAGTGGGAAGTTCTAGACTTTAGTCTTTTGTTCCAGAACCTAAGTGTTGCGTGCACATCTGTTTTACAGATCTGACTATTTTTAAAATGCAGATTGTTGGTTCCTTGCCTCTCAGGCAGATTCACTCTGGCTTCAAAAAAGTCCCCAGTTAGTCGACTCTTACGACTTGCTAGCTGGGGAGGCAGTGGGCTTATTCTTGTTTTCCCTACAATGGGGCTTCAGAACCTACACAGGGCTAAATCAATTCAAATGTGAGGCTTAAATGTCTGTTTTGTGATTTAAATGATAAAAAAAAAGTGTTATAAACTCTTTTTGAGTCCCGAGGAACACATCATACATTCATAGGTTTCTACCTAGAAGCTCAATGAACACTTGATGAGCCGGTTTTATGTCTCTCTTTACTACCCCTTGGGCCTGAGGTGCTAAACCCCTTGGGGCTCAAAGAGTAAAGGACGGGAGTGTCCGCCCCATGTTTCAGCCCCGAAGCTGGAGGACAAGAGACTCTCTCTTTGTCTGTTCTCTACCTCTTGACCTGTCTGTCTTGGAAGGCCCTGCTAGTTATGCTGCTGCAATTCTAGGATCATTGAGAAAGACAATCTCGCCCACCATGGCAAGGTGGAGGAGGCACACCCTTTCTTTATTAATAATATTACTTAAAAAAAAAATATCCTTTTTCTTCTTCTTTTCTCTACTCCTGGGAATGCCTTGTGGCATCAGGGTAGGAAGAGATCTCTGGAACGGGCCCTTCTGTCACTTCTTGAAATTCACTTTTCAGTGTGTCTGATATTTCTGCAGTCCATCTTCTTTGTGGTCGACCTCTGGATATGTTACTGCTGTATCAGTATAACATTGCTATCTATGGTGATATGTCGGATGCCAGTCTTGTTACATGGCCGAACCATTTGATTTACTGTCTACCTATGAAGTTCAGAATTGGTTCTGTGCTGACTCCTGATATGATTCCTACGTCGAACTTTCCTCGTTAGACCTAGCATAGAACGTAAACATTTAATTTCTGTTGTGACTATTTTCTTTTTGTCTTCTGAAGACACTGTACGTATTTGATACTGATAGCATAGCGTTGGTAAGAATACTGTGTTAAACAGTGTTGTTTTAGTTTTCATGTTCACATACTAATCCATTGCCAGGTAAATGTTGAGCTGGTGAGATTCCTGGTTGAGAAAGGTGGCACAGTGTCTCCGGAGAAAAACAATGACGAGAAGACAGTCCTGCACTTAATGGCCGAGCAGTGCTGCACAACAGACCTCACACCCATGTTGAAAATACTTGCAGAGCATGTGAGTGGATTCAGCTTTTGTTGGTTGCATGCTGCTTGTGCAACATAATTTGACTTGTGTGGGCGAATGAGAGGTCACATAGCTATATGTTTAAACAGTGTATGTATGTTTAACTAGTGAATGTATGCAAGGTTTTAGCAGCTGTACGGTTAAGCAGTGTTTAAGCTACTGTATTTTTATAGCTAGTGTGTTTAAAGTATGTGGTGTTTAGCTACTGCATTTTTATAGCTACTCTATGTTTAAAGTATGTAGTGTTTTAGCTGCTGTATTTTTATGGCTACTCTATGTTTAAAGTCTGTAGTGTTTTAGCTACTGCATTTTTATAGCTACTGTGTGTTTAAAGTATGTGGTGTTTAGCTACTGCATTTTTATAGCTACTCTATGTTTAAAGTATGTAGTTTTTTAGCTACTGTATTTTTATAGCTGCTGAATGTTAAAAGTAGTTAGTGTTTTAGCTACTGCATTTTTATAGCTACTCTATGTTTAAAGTATGTAGTGTTTTAGCTGCTGTATTTTTATAGCTACTGTATGTTTAAAGTCTGTAGTGTTTTAGCTACTGTATTTTTATAGCTACTGTATGTTTAAAGTCTGTAGTGTTTTAGCTACTGTATTTTTATAGCTACTGTGTGTTAGTTTATAGTGTTTTAGCTACTGTGTTTCTATAGCTACTGTATTTTTAAGGCCACATGCGGCTGTGGTTAATAGCAAATTTAGGTCAGGTTGACAATTTTTGGAAAAGTTCATTTTTTCACCCCTTATTATGTTCAGTCAAATTCATTGTTTGTTTTTGTCTAAAATATGTTTTTTTAATGCAATTTTAGTATTTTACTAAGCTAACCTTAGTTGTGAAATTATTTATTTATTGAACATTGTTAGAAATTTGTTATTTTTCTGACTTAAGATTGGCACATGGAGATAGCTGTATGTATTATATTTTGTTGTAATCGTTATTATGTCCCCTTCATTATTCAGCAAGTTTCAGGATTGTAGAAAGTCATGTTTCCCATTTACGACAATTTAATTTACCCTTTCAAAATCCCTGAAACCTCCATACTGCCTTTATAACATGAAAGACATTTTGGGCAATAAATCCTTGTCATTGGAGGTTAGGGAAAGAATTAATTCTTGCCAGCTATATTGAGCCAGTTTTAACCTACGGCTGTGAATCCTGGACAATTAATAAACAAGCCGAACAATATCTTGAGGCCTCATAGATGTGATTTTAACAGAAGAACCCTTAGAATTTCTTGGACAACTAAGAAGAGTAACCCAATTGTTTTGAAAGAGGCGAATGCTTAAAGACAACTTATCGTAAACATCAGAAAGAGACAGTCATCACTTTTTGGTCATGTAATGAGAAGAGGGATCATGGAACATGTTGTGAACACTGGAGAGATTTTGGAAAGAGAAACAGAGGATACAGCGCAAGAAGATTTTTGACAGCCTTTTGTCATGGCATGGAGGGGTATCAACAGATGAACTGATGCACGCAGTTGGGGATCGCCCACGCCTGTAGACAAGGCACTTGATGATAATGATGATTGTGAAAAATTTTTTGAAATAGATTTTCAAAATAATGTAATATTGACTTGTGTACATGTTAAAAAAAAATATTTTATCGGGAATTTGACACAGGGTCATGACCAGATTTTTTTAAGCATTCCCGGGACGACAAGGTTAGAAAATATATGTACAATTTTTGCCAATGTGTGTTTAGATAGTAAACAAGTGTTTTAAATATTTTTAGATAGTAACTGTAGGTTGTATGTTGGCACTGTGGTATTAAGTTACACAAAGCTTTTTCCCCCCTCTTCTGATCAGAAACCCCTAGAGACACCACAGGTTAAGAGCACACCAGATGTGTTAAAAGAGAATGGCAAAGTGAATGCCGTGGATCATGGACCAGCAAGTGATGCACAGAAGGAGGGTGAAGTTCCAATGGAGGCGGAGTCTGGCGATAAAAAAATCTCAGGTGAGTTTCTGTGATTTGAGTATTGCAGGTGCTGCCAAAACTGGTGGAGTCTGGCGATAAAAAAATCTCAGGTGAGTTTCTGTGATTTGAGTATTGCAGGTGCTGCCAAAACTTACTAAGAGGTTGTAGAAGCAGGTCTTCATGTGTGGGTCGTGGGGCCCCATTTTGAGAAGACAAATTAGAGCCCACTACTCCTTAACAAGCATGTTTCAGAAGGGGACTGATTTGGAGCATTTCCTTCAAAATCAGTATACATGTGCCTGAGAGGCAAGGGACTTGCATTCGGTTAAACCAAATCTTTGAAACAAATTTGTATGCAGAACTGAAGTTCTAGAACTGAACCAGAATCTTCTGCAGCAGTTCACTACACATGAACGCCAAGAAGGGGAAGCAGGTCAGTGGCTGAGAACTTTAGGCATCACTGGGACTTGAAAGCCAATGGGGTCATTTCCATTGTAGGACGCAGACTGTTAATAAAAACCTTTGATTACAATTTGTTTCTTTCTATGTGAATCCACTGAAATATTGTATTGAGTCATAAATTTGAAGTATCATTGCTTACTTTGTTTCAGTCCTGTAAAGGCCTTGCATCTTTTAGAGTGCTGTAGGTCTGGAGACTTAGCTTTCAGCCCAGCACTATCTGTGATTTGTGGTGTCAGCTCTCATGTAACAGTCGTAGAGGCTCTATAAACAATCAATCAATATTGTCATTGTCAGACCTCAGCTTTGGCTCTGTATTTTCCCATGTCAGTTCCAGATCCCTGTTTTTGAGTGAAAAGACAATGCCCTCCTAACAATCATGGAGTTTAAAGGAAGGTTATCATTGGAGGGGGGGGGGAGGGGAGGGGGGGGGGGTCCTCTTTAAAGTCGAAGTGCATCTGCCTGAGAGGTGAGAAACCAACAGTCTGCATACAGATAAGGCGGGTCTATTAAAACGTTAAATGGATGTGCATACAAAGCTTAAGTTTTGGAACAAGATTGAGGTCTAGAGGTGTACGAAAAGTCAGAACTTTCCACTCGAATTTACAGCTGTAAAATGCTAGCAAGATGGGAAACATCATGATTTATAGTTAAATTTATTTAAGTTTACCATTCTGGTTTCCTTTAATTGACTTACTCCTGTCTTTGTGCAGAAAGTTCCAACAATCTGAAGACTCCAGATGTCAACAGCATCAACGGTGTTGATGCCAAGGGGGACAGTCCACGTAAAGTAGGCAGCCCAGAGAAGGAGGCAGCAAACCTGCCACCACCACCACCACAGGCAGCAGTTTCCCAGCAGGAAACCTTGAAGAAGATGGCTCAAGACCGAGACTTTGTTGGCTTCACCCCTCTGCTCCGAGCTTGCCACACCTATAAGACATTTCGGGTTGGTGTTAATGTATTGTAATTACTTAACTCTTTCAGTCCCAGGCAGTTATTACTTTAACTCATTCTATTCCAAGAAGCTGGGCTTAAAATCAATAAATACTTAAGTGTGATCGAGTTCAGCAACACTTTGGGGCAGAAATAGTTTTAACTGATAATTCTTATAGAAGGGGTTACTATAAAAACTGTCTGTGACAGAAGGCAGCAAGGATAGGATATTATCTTTGAAATGGCCAAAGAACAAATGGTGAGTTGGTTGGTATTGAAAGAGTTTAGACAGTGTTTCTAAATTGGTGGAATAGATTTAAGTGGTCCTTTTCAGCGTTTATTCCTGTGTGGGTACCAGCACTCCATTTTGGAGAATAAAAGTACGCCCACCATCCCTCTAACAAGCATGTCGTGGGGGTCGACTAATTAGGGGTGTTTTTTTTAAAAATTGGAGTGCATCTGCCTTAGAGACTAGGAATCGGCAGTGTGCTAGATCTGTAAAAACAGGGCTGCATGCGAAATTCAAGTTCTGGAACAGGACCAAACTCCAGAGGTTGATGAAATACCAAAAGAAGAAGGTTCCTTCTATTCCATGGGGTTAAGTTTAACAGCAGTGAATACGTAGGTCTAGAGGGGTTCAATAAAGATACTGTGAGACAGAAGTAGTTAAACTAATAGTTCTGATACACAGGGTTTATGTAACAACTGAGTGTGGTAAAGACAGCTGAAACTTTGTATTCTTTTGGGAATGACAAATGAAGTTAGGTTGCGTTTGTTGGTCATAAGTCAAGGAGACCCTGTATAGATTCAATCTTGTAATATAGGGGTAGATTTTTAACTCCAAATCTACTCAAAGTATTTCAGGATCCTTGCCCTGGTGCTACAGAGCCTGTGCACTGTGCTGAGCTTCTTCGAACTCAGACTTGAGTTAGAAGAAGAACGGAGCACTTATGGGTTACTACCCATGTGCCATGATGTTGATCCGTTGCTCAAACCTCAATCCTCAAACTTAAACACATAGGGGGTCCTCGAAAGGCCGTCGAAAATAAGAGGGGTCACAGGCCTTATTCTGTTGAGAGCCACTAGTATCATGAGTTGAATAATGTATTGTCCTTGTGTGGGTTCCGGAGCCCCAGTTTGGGGAAAACAAGAATAGACCCACTGCTTTCCGAATAAGCATGTAGTAAGAGTCAACTAATTGGGCAGCTTCCTTTGAAGTCAGAGTTCATCTGCCTGAGCGGCAAGGAACAACCATAAATAAGCTAGTAAAACGGATGTACACGCACAACTTAGACCCTGGCACAAAGCCAAGTCTAAATGGATCGAACAACCAGGACTTTCCGCTTGAGTTTATAGGTGGTGAACAAAGAAGAAGGAGAAGAAAAGTGGTGTATTGATAGTTATCTTTACCTGAATGTTTTTGTTCCTGCAGATATCTAAACAGGAGGATGTGAAGAAAGCCCACTATGCCCTGGAGTTCATCCAAGCGCTGATAGAGTTGACAGGGTCAGACGTTGATGCTGTTGTTGGCCCCAAGAACATGCCAGATGAACCTGAGCTACATTATGCTCCAGAAGGTGATCATTTTAGGTTTTCTGTCGTGGATACGAAATAAGATTTGTTAGCACCCTTGTTCATCTCCAAGTCCCCTGTCTGTTTCTCTGATAGCCTGTCAGCCTGCCACTGCAGATCTAGAAGTAACTTTATCTTCTTCTTCAGTCCCAAGAGAATAACCCACATTGGAAGCACCCACTGTAGAAGCCAGATGTCTTTAGATTGCTCTGACGGCAAGTTAAAAAAAAAAAAAAAAAAAGTAAGGGAAACATTGGGTGATTTCTACGGATATAAAGAAAGAATAAACACCTATCTGGCATTTTTTGCCACCAAAAGATTCTAGAGGGTGGTTGACATGAGTTGTGGCTTACAGCTTGGCTGTGACATCTATTGCTTTTGGCTCCACACATTTCAGCAAACCCTAAATTAGTCGCCTTTTACAAAATTCTTGCTTGTGTGTATTGGGGAAAAGGGGGGGGGGGGGGGTGGGGCCTTTCTTTTCCACTCATTCTTTAGGCGTATTAGGCAAGTATTGCTAGACCTTTATTTTATAGACCAAATGGCACTTGGTGAGTGATATGGTCAACATCATGCCGACCGCCTTTACTTCCCAGGATGGCACCAGGTACCCACTCAAGGCTGGGTCGACCTGGGAGCCAAGGTCATTTCTGAAAAAAAAAAATAATGTCTGGCTTCGATGGACCCGAACCCATGAACTTCTGATTCTAGGTGAGCGTCAAGCCACTAAACCACGGCGACTCCTCTTTTCATTACCACTGTACAAATACCAGTCTGTCATCATACGCCTAATAGGCTATTGGCTTGAAAATGATAAGGAAAGATAAAAAAAACCGAACGAAAAGTATATCAGCGAGCTTCACCATATCACAAACAAAACGTGAACGTTGCGGCTATGGAGCCTTCTTCTTGAAAATTATAGTTTACTGTATTGTCTTAACATGCATCTGTGTATTTTTACTTTGCATTATCTGAAACAAAGGTTGCTTTTTTTCCCCAGGTAAAAGTTCATCTCTGCATTTCTTGGTGAATGCTGAGTGTGAGAATAAGAGTGACATAGGGGCCGGACTGAAGCTGTTGCTACGTCACAATCCTGATCCAAACCTCAGGGACATGAATGACAAAACACCCCTCGTTCTTGCAGTAGAGAGTTCTAGAGAAGCCATTGTCAAGGCTCTTGTAAGTTTCTCACTTAATATTGATTGTGCTTTGTTAAAAACAGTAAATCCTCGTTAACATGAACTTGCTTGAGAAGAACACCCGGTTAACATTAACTGTTTTTTTTTTGTGTGGGTCCTAGCAGGGATGTTAACATTAGTTCCCCCGTTTAACACACATTTTTTTTTTCAAGCACAAATTTGATTTTTAATTTCTTTGGAATTCATAGTAATTACATTTTAAAGTACTTTGTTTTCTCTAGCAATAGAAAGTAGAATATTAGAGGTTACGAAAGCTGTAAACAATCTTTTCTACCGTGGTAGTCAGTCTTACAATGCAACTTAAATAATTAGGAAGAGATTGGAGGTTGTGAAGGAGTGACATCTTTGACGAAATCCTGAATGCCTACGGATGTTTCTCTTATCTTTGGAGGCTGCAAAGAACTGAGACCTGTGAAAAATCCCTAATATCCTTTCTAGGATGGGTCTATCTGGAAGCTCAGGATAGTTTACAAAATCTACCTCAATTCGGATTCAGAGCCGTGAATACTGGGTTGTCAGGCCATAATGTGCTAACCGCTACACTGCTGCGACATCACCCTCAACCATGTCACATGAAAGGTAAGCAGTTGTGATGACCCTGCTTAGCAAGGCCTCCACGCTCACAGCAAGTCGAGCTGAAAATCCGTGCGACTAACAACAGCATGAGATACTTGGGGCTGGAAAGGAAAACGAAGGAAAGCCTGAGGTCGACGCGTGGTCAGTTGTGTACCAGAAGTCGAAGAAGTCATTTGTCGTACTTGAAGATGTAGTTTCAATGTCGAATGAATGACTAGTGTTGTAATATTGTGGAAGCGAACAGCGATGCTTGTGGTTGAGTAATTGTGATGGAATAGGAGAAATAAACTGGCAGGATGTATTCTGGAATTCGAGTGGCGTTTCAGTGTTGTCAATTGTGGAAAGTTGCATCTATTGCCTTGTGAGCAAATATTACTATAAACAGAATCATAGCAACAATACACATGTTAAGTTATTTGGTACAGAAAGAGTTAATAGTGTGTATAGTTTAGGTAATAGTAGAATTTAGTTTAGATAATAGTATATACTGTGTTTATAGTAAAACATGTGTGCATGCATAATTTAGATAAATGTTTAGTTTCGATAATATGTGTCCCTGGCTTAGACATTGCTACCACACTTTGTAAGCCAGGAGCACCAGTTTTGATCCTAGCTGCGAGCGACTTGGCAGCAGACCGCTTTATGTTGATTTTGACTGGTAGTGATAGCCGATTGTTCATTAAGAAATGGTAAACTGTCAAATGTAAAATTGCTTGAGGAAATAACAAACAGCCAAAAAAATGCTAGGGTTGGTTCTTGCAGCATCCTGAAAAATTAACTTTCAAGATGTATATAGTTGAGATTCCAGAATGCAGTGGCAAACTACTGGACTTAAATATGCCTAGAAAAACCTGCAACAGCCAGGGGGCTGTCGGGTTGGTTCTGCAACGTCCTGTAAAGGATACGCAACTAACTTATAGTTTAGATAATAGTTTGCACCATTTTGATAATACAATGTATAATTTATTTTCTCATTGGACTGCTGGTGTTTGTTTTACAGCTGGAAGGCGGAGCTGATCCCAATGTTTTGATCAAGGGGAATCATTTCCACATCACCCCATTAATCTTGGCTGCTGAGTGAGTTTCATAAATTCACTATATTTGTCTTTTTAGATAATGCAGACTAGACACAAACAATACATTGCAAATTTCTTGCCTGGCACATCTCGCTGTATCTTCTCATTGTTTACAGCTTTCGTAACCTCTAATATTCTACTTCTCAGGTGTATTAGTGCAGAGTTTCATCAACATTTGAAGCACAAAATTGAGTTCATTTCCACTAAAATGAACAAATCACATTGACTTCTGCAGATACACTGTTTATCTTCTTGCTGGAAGCTCAGGTTAGTCACCTGACTAACTTGGCAATTTCACAATGACCAAATGCTCTTTTTTAGTTGTACGAAGCGGGATTGTTCATTGTTATTGTCACAGCTTCCACCATTACTGTTTTGATTTTCAGGCAGTGAGATAAACAGTGTACCTGTATGATAATATGTGATTTATGTATTTCACTGGAAAGGATTTAATTTTATTTTTCATAATATGTTGAGTTAACTAATTTTGTGATTGCTGGGATATATGGAGACATCATTGTTTGTGAATTGTCTTATGCTTTTGCTTCGCACTATGATAGTTCAGCATTTGGTTTCAGATGCTCTTGTTTGGTTCATGAGAAGAAGTACTTAAGGGACCATCCCTGCATCTATGAAGTCCCATGCTGTACTCTCGGTGGACACACAGCCACTCAGAAGAGAGAGAGACTGAGCTATCTGAGATACAAACCTGGTGTGGCCCGCCTGGGTTCCTGGCTCCCACTGTGGGGAGAAAAAAAAAGAATACACCCACTGCCCTCCCAAAAAGCATGTTATAAAAGTTGACTAATTAGGGGTGTTTTCGTTGAAGTGCATCTGCCTAAGAGGCAAGGAACCAACAGTCTGCATACTGATAAGCTAGATATGTAAAACGAATGTGCATGCAAAACTTGTGGAACAAGACAGTCTAAAGTGGACGAAGAACTAGAAAATTCTACCGGAGTTTACAGCAGGTGAATGCGAAGGAGAAAAAGAAGAAATATCCTTTTGTGGCTACAGTGTAGTTATTATGGATGTGAGGTAGAAATTCCTTTTCATAAAGTTATTTGTGAGAGGAACTGCTGGCTAAAAATGCTGGGCTCTCACCCCCTGACAATAACATAGCAAAAGTGGTATAACAAAGGCAGTCATTGGCAGTTTTGGCAGAATTATTTCTAAAGCAGAGATCATTTCTGTCTGTCAAATAATTTAGTTTGATTGAACTTTAGTGTTTGTTATCTTTATAAAGGATTACATGACATTTAGATTTCTTTCGCTACTTGTGAGATTTTAGTTCATTATTTTCTCAGTCCATAAAATTGCATGTGCCTGTTTTACTGTTTCAGAGCTTGAGTTTTGTATGTACATCTGTTTTACAGATCTGGCTTATTTGTATGTAGACTTTTGATTCCTTGCCTCTCAGGACAGATGCACGCTGAATTAATTGGTAGACTTTTACCACATGCTTGGTAGGGGGGGACAGTGTCTGTTCTCTTTTCCTTCAGAATGGGTCTCTGGAACCTACACAGGAATAGTCAAGTAGAAAATGTAAATTTTTTTTTAAAAAATCTACATTTATATAAAAAAAAAAAAAAATCTACACTTTTTTTTTTTTTTAAACACTATGTTGTGAATAGTATTATTTATTTATTCATTAATTTAAAATTTAAAACGTCTGTCATGTGTTACTGCGGCTGAACAAAATCTGGCTGACGATCTTAACTTTTTCAGTCTTTGGAACCTACACAGGAATAGTCAAGTAGAAAATCTACATTTATTTTTTTTAAATCTACATTTATTAAAAAAAAAATCTACACTTTTTTTTAACACTATTGTTGTGAATAGTATTATTTATTTATTCATTAATTTAAAATTTAAAAAGTCTGTCATGTTTTACTGCGGCTGAACAAAATCTGTCAGTCTGGCTGACGATCTTAACTCTTTCAGTCCCAAGGTGTTTAGCATCAGAGGTCTAAAGGATAGTACGAGAGACGTACAATTGGCGCATCTTGCATTCATTGGACTTTTAGGTAGAAACCTATGAACAAACACATGATACCTTCCTTGGGACTGGAAAGAGTTTACTAGGGCTTATGTTTGAAGATTGGCTTATAAAAGGAGCATACTGATAAATCATGCTAGGGCTTTGGATTGGGGGGGGGGGGGGGGGGAATGGTTTTGGTGTACATTTGTTGTGTAATATGTTTGTCATTTCAGACGAGGAGATATAGAAGTCATGAAATTACTGATTCAGCATAAAGCAGACGTTAAGAGTAGCCGATCAGACAACCAGCGAACTGCCATACACATTATGGTTACAAACAGAGGTAAGCAGACACATGACTTACTTAAATGTAAGCTTATTTTGCCCTTCTTCTCCATCCTGTGTGAAAAGATTCAAATATCTAGGGATCACCCAGTATAAAAATGGCAACAGAGATAAAATGTAATCTTCATCTTCTTCGCGTTCAACAGCTTTAAACTCCAGCGGAAAGTTCTGGTTGTTCATCTACCTCTTGACTTTAGAGTTGTTCGAGAACCTGAATGTTGCGTGCACATTCGTTTTACAGATCTGACTTATGTGTGTGCAGACTGCTGCTTCCTTGCCTCTCAGGAAGATGCACTCCGACTTAGGAGGAAACCCTTAGTCAGTCAACTCTTACAACATGCTTGTTGGGGAGGTAATGGGTCTATTCTTCTCCCCCCCCCCCCCCGAAAAGGGTTCCCTGGAACCCACACGGGGATAGATGTAATGAAACAGATCAAATCATAGGAAGTATGTTACCAATATTGTAGAACACACATGTAACAGTGGACGCCAAAAGAGGACTATTTCATACAATTTATCAACATTGTGTTACTAGTGCCAAACAAAGACTTCAACATGAAAAGGAAACGGAAAAATCAAAGCAACTGAAACAAAATGTCTACAACAAATCCTAAATGTAACAAGAAGAGACTCAATCAGAAACTGGGGGAGGGGGAGGTGCACTGTTTTCTAAACAGGCATGTCGTTTAAAAAAAAGTTGAGTTGCGTATCCTTTTCATGATGTTGTAGAACCAACCCCAAATTTTTTTTGGCTGTTGTTGTTTTTCTAGGCAAATTTATGTCCAGTAGTTTGCAGGCATGTCATAGAAGGTGACTAATTAAGGATGCTTCTTCGATGTCCGATTGCATCTGCCTGAGAGGCAAGGAACCAACAGTTTGCATACAAAGAAGCCAGACCTTTGAAACAGATGTGCACGAACAACTCAAGCACTAGAACATCAACAAAGTCTAGAAGTGGAACTACGGCCAGAACCTTCGGCCAGAGTTTAGAGTTGGCGAACATGAAGAAGATCAATTTGTCTTCCTAGATAATTCTCAGAATTAAAAAAAAAATTTTTTTGGGTACCCAATTTTATGTTGCTGGCTCAACCCCAGAGGCATACTGGTTGGCTTAAATCCTGCCACTTGTGGGAACTGTCTTGCCAGCAAAAGTAAACTAACCACTTTGCCACCACGGCTCTAATAAATAATAATAATAATAAAAAAAAATTCAGCTTTCAAAAAATGCTATGATGTTTTGAGGATGCTAATGCTTATGTATATGTTATGTAATCGTAGATGGCAGTCCAGCATGTGGTATGAACTTTTTTAAAAACCTTTTTAAAGTTCAGTTTTGCTTGTTTGTTCATTTGTTGGTTCGTCTGTTGAAATTTTTTGCATTGAATGTGTAAACTATTTTCTGATCAACTGTCAGGATGACATTTTGCACATACACGCTTTATGGATGACAGAACAATCTGATGAAAAACTATTCCATCATATTTTATCAAATATTTTATATCATATAGTTTAGTGGACACATGCGTTCAGCTAATTATCTTTACAACTGTCACCTACAGTTTTATACCATGACTAATAAAATCGTGGATGATGCCTAAATAACAATATATAATACTCGACTCAGCTTGTATGTATGCATATATGTGGTCGGCCCACACTTTTATAAGTCATGAAAGGTAAACTAAATAGTTTTTGCTGAAATTGGATGTGTTAAACCAAAAGGCACACATATCGCAGCCTAACTGTAAACCACAATACAGTGTACCAACTGCTCTTTTAAGGTTGAATGCAGAAGCGGTTTTTCCACATTTCTGTTTTTGATTGTCCAGCAGTCATTTGTATAGACAAACCTCCTCTTGTGTCATTTTGTACAGGATCTAACATAATGAAATATGATATTCTAGTGCGGGAAGATGATACCATCGCCATGATACAGATCTTGCTGCAAGCTGGGGCAGACATCAATGCGGTGGATATTGATGGTAACACTCCCCTCCATCTGGCCGTGCAGCACAACAAAGGACACTCCGACTCATCAACCAGTTTGGAAGAGTTTCTGCTGGATCGTGGAGCCAATGTTTTTGCCAAGAACAAGCATTTGGACACGCCTCTTCACATTGCACTGGAAAAAAATGGGTATGCCTGTTTGTCAAGTGTCATTCTTCTTCTTATTCTGTCTTTCTAACCCTCAGTGGAGCATAGGCCCTCATCCAACTCGCCAAGTTGTTCAATCCTTCACTATCGCATTCAGCTCTCCCCATCTTTTTAACTTCACTTTCTAGCCCCCTTCTCCATGTGTTTTTTGGTCTTCCTTTATTTCTGTGCCCCTGTGGGTTCCAGCGCAAAGACATTCTAGTTATATTGTTTACAGGTTTTCTCAACATGTATCCTATCCAACGCCAGCGTCTTTTCTTTCCCTCCTGGTCCGCTGGAACTTGTTTTGTTCTCTTCCAAAAGCTCTACATTATTGATTCTATCATAACATTTAATTCCCTCTATTCTGTACAGGCAGCAGTTAATGAACGTTTGTAGTTTATTTGTAATTAAATAACGTGTAATTAAATGACATTACACATTGTGACCTTGCTCTTGTTTAGGTGCGATTTTATGTTTTTCATCTATCCTATTTGGTTGTGTCTGTAATTTCTCAGTAGATGTGTTGTTGTTCGCCCATTGTAAGTGATGGTGACCAGACCTTTTGTCGGCTAGAAAGAGGGAGAGTGGATGATAGGATGAATGACGCTTACATGATGAATTGGATTTTAGTGGGAAAAGAACTGTGCGAATCCTTCTATCTCACTCTCTCGCCTTATCCATATAGGTACGGTGGCAAGATGAATGACACCATGGCTTACATGATGAATTGGATTTTAGTGGCATAGAACTGCAAATTCTTCTACCTGACTGCCTCGACTTGTCTATTCAAGAATGGTGGCAAGATGAATAGAGATGCCTGGAGATTAGTCCAGGTGCAGGGGATGACCAGGGCCTTTTTTGTATGTGCTGAAGGATCTCCACAGAGCGTTCTGGTGGTCACCTTTCACAGCGGAAATAACTCTGATCATCATCCGATTGTGCTGTTTATCTGACATATTGGGCTCACTTTTGATTTCTCCATTCCCTTCCATCTAATGCAGTATTTTTCATAGCCGTGGATGGAATAGAGTTCCTTCAGTACCTTTGGCCTCTTTCATCATCGTTTGTTGTAGAGGTCTTCTTGAGAGCCTTTGCTTCCTAAATCCACTTGTTTGCCCTCTCAGTGACTGTTACTTTCTGATTCTTCGTCCATTTTATCTCGGAACGAGCTCGATAATTTATCACTGCCCTCTTTCTCTTGTAACTTTTGATATCAGCAGCTATCTAGACATGATTCAGTGTTGTTCTGGATACAGTTCATCAGTTGACGCTGAATATTGAAGTCAACTTGAAACGTTTAGTATACAAAAAAGTGTTGTGCTCTGATAGTCAGTTTGAAATGTATCATATTAAAATAAAATCAAAAATATCTAAATTAATTAAATGTCCCAATTAAAAGCCCAATTAAAATTTGGCATCGCATTCATGAATGAAGTAAAATTGGAAAGAAATTTGTTCTAAAGAGTCTCACAGGCATGGAAACATTAAGCAGAAGAGGAATCAGAGGTACATCATTTTTGAATTATTCTGTTATGAGATTAAGTTTATATCTGATATTCATCAGAGACTGGCGTAAAATTATCATTATTTGTTAACTTATTCATTTGCAGTGTCGACCCAATTGAGCTGTGCAGTCTGTTGACCAGTGTGATGCGGGATCAGAAGGTTGATGAGCCTAATGAGAAGGGCTTCACGCCCTTGCTGTATGCTGCCAGTTCAGGGGCCACTATCTGCTGCATGCATCTGCTTCAGGTAAGGGTGCCCCACATTAGGTTTTTGCAAGAGGTCTTTTTCTTATTTTCATCTCACTGAGAGTGCTTAGAACTGAGAGTTGATCAACTGCAAAGGATGCTGCCAAAGTAGAGCACTAAGAGTCTCTGGTTACGTAAGTAAAGGACCCTTTTTTTGGGCCAATGATGCATCGGACATATGATGCTAGTCTCATCTCTTTATAGTCCAGTCAACACTCGATAGTTGATGCAGATGTAAAGCAACTAGATGCCCCAGTCACACAAGGAATGTAAAGTAATGGACCCTGTTTACGCCAGTGGTGCATCAGACTTACAATCTACCTCTTCTTCTTCATCACTACAAGCCCTTGAGGTTCATTGCTGCAGATATCGCCTATCCTGAAAACTGACATTGTTCATTTGTGAGAATTCTTCATGGCACATCAGACATGACCACAAGTGCTCCAATCTCCTCCTGAGTGTGTCCCCAAGTGTTTTTAGGCTAACAACTCTCATTCTGTGTTCTGGTTGATGTAACGACGGGTGGCTCCCGCATGGTTTTCCTGTCTCGCCACTCCAGTTAGTACACCCAGAGTATGCAGTCTATTCAATGAAAAAAAAAAAGACTGATATTTATCTCAGACCACATTGCAGACAATTTTTTTCAAGCTATCAAAAGAAGACATTTTTTGTATTATTGGCCCAAAATTCTAAATTTGAGCTTTTTTGGTGTATTGTTTGTGAACAGTTTAAAAGGTGCAAATATCATAGCCACGCTGTAAACGGACACAACGCAATTACATCTTCGGATGAATGCAGAAGAAGAAGAAGAACAGTTTAAAATTCTTACATACCAGGTTTGTCACGCCTCACTTTTTATTCTTCAGTGCCATTCTCAGTACACCTGAGGAAATAATTAATAACAGCTGTCTTATCAAGAGTCCAACCTAGTCGAGAGACAGAATGGGGAGATCCCTTTGCAGCCACATGTTGTGGAGATGGCACCTGATATATTGATTTAATGTAAAAAGCTTTTCTACAATTTCAACATTATTGTTTTTGTCCCTAGTGACAAGATGTTGTTCAGTGATAACATGTCATTGTATGTATTTCAGAGAGGAGCAAATCTTGAAGCCAAGGAATACAGAGGCAACACTCCATTGAATATGGCAATATATGGTGGCTTTGACAGGTACATCATCATTAAACTAAATACAGCTTATAATGTTATGATTTCTTCCAAAGAATTCAAGAATATATTCTGCATTTTTTGTTTTAAATTGCTTTTTACAAGCAAGAGGTCATTGTGGAAATTTTCACACTGAAAATAATACAGTTTGTTGTCAGTGTTTATAAAGTTTTCTAAGGATATCCAAATAATTTTGATGACATTCAACACAGAATATGAGAAAACACACACAGAAAATCAAAAAAAAATGTGGGTTGAGAAAGTAGACAAGGACCATCAGACTCGAGAACTGGCAAGATTGATGGGAAAAAGAATAAAAGGAGGGCAAAGAGAGAAATACCTAGGTGGCTTAGCCATGTGGATTGGGGTGAGAAAAGAACACTGACCCGATCTGGGATTATGGTGATCATGTGAGATGGCAGAATATAGCAATCTACACTTATTACATTTTATAAAATGATAATATATAAACTGGAATTGGATCTATGTCAGTGATAAGTTTTTCACATTTTTTAGGTGTGTAATTATCAACAGACTTCACTCTAGTAACTAGTGGGATTTTGTTCTCTTTCCCAAAGAAATCCATTATAATTTGATGATACCGAGTCGTTGTACTGGTGGTAGTGAATCGGATCATATCACCAGCGAGGATTGAATCAGGGCATTTATACTAATGGGATAGATCATCGGCACTGCGCCAAATTAACCTAATTGTTAATTCTTGTTTAGAGAATATCACATTTGAACATTGGGATCTCTTTGATGTGCTAGTTAGTTAGTCGACACATTATCCCCATTGTGTATCGAACCAGTCAGTCCATAACTGCTTGAATCCCCTCGGTAAATCCCACAGCGTGTAGCGGCTGACGACACCAGTCCTGTGTTGATTCCTTATTCCTTTTTGACTTTCTGCATAGTGATCTTGTCTGGCCACAACCCTTTTAACATGCTGTTCTTGCAGTTGTGGTCATGGTTGTAGATTCACAGTCATCACTTGGTTCTCGCAGACATCCTGTTTCTCATAGAGCATTAAGTATATCAGCCTGGTCCATGGTTCGCCTGCCCTTCACGATAGCTTTACCTGCAAGCCTGTCAGCCTGCTCATTTCCTTGCACGACTGTGTGCCCTGACACGAATATGAAACTGAAGTACTTTATAGCTCCTTGAATAGAACTGTATTTTGATCTATTTGGAGTAGGAATTCACTTTTAGCAAATTGTTAAAGGACAAATGACAGCTCTGATAAGGTGAAAATTAATAAAATTGTGGTTCGGTGACTTTGGCAAGGAACCAGGATACACTGTGTAGGTTATCAGGCACACTAACCACTTTGCTGGCTGCTGAAGATGACGACGGAGCTTCTATGAGAATGTCTTGAGTGCTGTGAAGGAGGTTCTAGACTCAGATTGACTCAGCTAATCACTGTGTTACCGTGACACCCCACATTATATATTTGGCAGTTATTTAAATTTTCCTCCCTTTTACATTTTTTAGTTCTGAAAGGTCTCTCACTTATATTATTGTCCACAGCTGTGCAATAATGCTCATGCAACGAAATGCAAGCTTGTCCCACCCCATAGTGATTAGCTTGCCCCATAAGGAAGAAGTCAAGAAAGAAACAGAGGAAGAGAAAAAGAAAAAGAAGAGACCTGTGCTCACCTGGCGGCCAAAACGACAGTGGCTAAGCCAGCAGCCTAAAGAGATTCCAGGCTCCAGCATCACAATCTTTGAGGTGAGTACCTGTGGCAGCTCTTGTACACTCAGTAGATCCGTGGATGACAATGACTAGGAAGTGTGAAACAGTGTGCCAGCTGTCCTTTTAAGGGCAGACATAAAGAATAAGAAGAATGCTCAGAGCTACAAGGCCACCACCCATCCCAAACCAGTAGGACTCTGGGGTAGACCCAGTTGAATAAAAAAATTTACAAGATAATTTTCAGAATTTTTTGCTAATGAGAGGAGTGGCTGGCCAAACGATTAGAATGCTGGGTTCTCATGCAGGGGACCCTGGTTCGAATCCTCGGTAAGGCTGGGGATTTTTTTCTGTCAAGGGCAAAATAAAATCCTAATCTGCACAGTCGTAGCGACAACACTAGTCATGCGTCCTTAAATCACCAGGCTCAAAAGATCACTATGCTTACACCGTAGAAGTGGTATATAAAGGCAGTAATTGGCAGTTTTTTCTTCTGCTAATGAATAGTGAGAAAGAAGGAAATTGGCCACCCCGTCTCATACCGTGTGGGCCTAGAATATATATAAATCTAAAATTTCTGGGCTATCCTCCGAATAACGGTCCCAAATTATCGAGGCTAAGAAAATACCCTAATAGATCCTCAATGTTTGTGACTGTGCAGCCAGGAAGCTGCACTAAATATTTAGTAAACATCGAAACAACTAGTGTCACCATGGTAACGTCGCGTCCGCGTAAGTTCCATCCATAACCCTTCAATCGATAGTGTCGCGGTTCCACTGTTGTGACAGATTTTGGTGGCGGTGTCGTAATTGCAGTACTCCTAGCCCTTACCCTAACTCTAATCCTAACCCTAACCCTAAACCTAGGACCCAGGGGAGAAGTTAAACCTAGGACCCAGGGGAGAAGTTTAACCTAGCACTCAGTGTCGGAGCTGTTGACACTCGATGATTTGGGACCTTTATTCGGAGGAGTGTTTCCCGCGGTATACGGTAGATTTGCCTGAAAGAAGTCCTGCAATATACATATGATTGAAGCCCTGTTAGGGTATTTTCTTAGCCTAGATAATTTGGGACCGTTACTCGGTTCCCATCACGAGTATCTGCTGTGAGACTGCTCTGTTTCACTTTACACACAAGAGTAGCACGATGGAGATATCTCTAACATTGGTCTCTTTTGTCCATTATAAGTGTTTGTAATTTTAGAAAATAGAGGAGCATCACACAACAGGATGAAAAAAAAAAAACTTAGTAATTGTGTACAGATTTGTTGAACTCAGATGACAAGAGAGAAGATACAAGCATATTTTTAAACAGGCACTGGTTGGTCATGGAAGAAATCCATTTTGAAGGGAATTGGAACAAGAACACACTGCCACATCTGAGCCCTTGCCACTGCACTAAACAGAACACCTACCACTGATCGGAGCCATTAATTTATTTCAATCTTTATTTGTCTTTTGCATAACATGGAAGATTTATCAGATGTTTGTGCTTAAGCATTTAGTGCAGTCTAACTTAAATCTAATGTATTTACAGACATTCGTGATAATTTCAACAAGATCACAGACATTGATCACTTTAGACCAGTGATTCCCAAACAGTGCGCCGCCGCGACCTTTTCACAGGGGCGCTGCGAAATATTGTAAAAGCTTCATATTAATTTAACCAAGACACGAATAGCCATACTTTTACTTAGGTTAGGGTGCCGTGGAAAAATTTTCATTGAAAAAAGACACCGCGGCCAAGACAGTTTGGGAAACACTGCTTTAGACAGTATGTTAAAAAAAAAGCCTGGCAGTGTCATATTTTGTTTTCTTGATTCCACAGGGAGCTGTTAAAAATGACCTGACAGGAGTGGCTCATATGCTGCTAGATGCCCTGGGTATGCCCATGGAAGCTGTGGAAGTAAGTGATTGTCGCAGTAATCAGCCATGAGATGTAGACATTCTAATACTGTCTGTTTACCATGTTTACTTCTATTTGCAAAGTGTGGAAAACATTTCGATCATTTTTTTTAATTACACAGATTGGAAAGGGGGGGGGGGGGGTTTGTGATGATTGCATGAAGAAGACAAATAGAAATACAGGAAAAACCAAAGGTAAAAATACATACTGGAAAAAGATAGTAAAACAAACAACAGCAGACAGATAAAAAAAAAAAAAAAAAACAATAAAGATAAATCAAGAAAAAGTAAGCAGAAGATAGGACTGTTGTAAATTGAAAACAGAAGTAAAAGAAGTCAGAATGAAGAAAAGATACAGAAAGATTAAGTAAGCAAGATGAGAAGCAATAAAGATAGATGAAATATTAAATAGACTGAAATTGACATGAATTTTAAAATGTTTCGAGTGGTTGTTTTGAGATACCATTTTAGCATTAACAAAGTTATTCATGTTTTTTTTTTTTTTTTTACATTTTGTAAATCTAAGTGTTTTTCATATATATGTGTGTAAATACTCAAGGCAAATTTTTTTTTTAACATAGCTGCCAATTATATTATGTATTTGTGATCCACAGTCAGCACTGAACCTGAGCAAGTTCTATCTTGCACTGCGCCTGCTCCGTAGAATCCCTGATGTGAGCAGACTGCATGCTAAAAACAAGGAAGGTCAGAATCTCTTCCATGTACTGGCCTTGAGAACCAGTCGCCATGACCCCGATCTTCAGATCAAGGTCAGAGCTTAATGTTTGTCACTTGACGTAAAGGACGATTTATTAAATAAAGTCTGTTTACCCATGAACCTTTTTGCTCTGAGGACACCCCTCCCCCCAAACACCCCCCCCCCCACACGCGCGCACACACACACACACACTCTCTCTCTCTCCCTCCCCTTCTCCCTCTCCATTCCTTTCCCCCCTCTCTCTTTCTCCCTTCCCACTTCCCTCCCTCCCTCCTTTCCTCTCTCTCGCTCCCCCTCCCTCCCTCAATAATTTGTTTGCCGACTCCCAAGTTCTTCTCTTCCCCAAATTTTTTAGGGTTGCGTTGCAGAGAAATGTGATATTTTTTCTTTTCATTATGCGCTGTGTGAAATGTTAAATTCCTCTCCAGACTAGACCAGTTAACACTCAGTGGGTGATTTTAATATTACTCTAGCTTTACTTTCCCAAAATGTTTCCTGATACCCATTTTGGACTGGCTGGGGCCAGGTCACTAAAAAAAAATCCACCTTGATAGTGATTGATACAACAGGTATAGAGTGAGTGAAAGACTTCAGAAAAGATGGAGTGAAGGCATTAAGAACAGCCTTACAGAAATTAACATCAGTCTTAATAGTGCAACTACTGGACGTAAATTTGCCTAGAAAAACCACACAACAGCCAGGGGCTGTTGGGGTTGGTTCTGCAATGTCCTGTAAAGGATACACAACTAACCTTAATAGTGCTTTTGAGATCTCATCAACGAATGTTACATCTCTCCCCGACACTTCACTGAGGTACACTGTGGAAGAGAAGAAGAAGATAGTGATTCAAACCTATTTCCTCCAAGGCTGGCAGGAAAGCATGCTCGCCACTGTAATATTGTAGTCTTAGTGTTGGGTCATCATATAGCAGGTCCTATGCTGAGCATCACTATCATTGCAGCCTGCTTGAAAGAAACTTGATCCCTCATCATTCTCCCACCTCTTGCACTTTCTTGCCCAAGGTATTGCTTATTTCCTGTGCCCATCTGCATGCTAGTTGACTCATGTTCTTCTTTCCTGGCACCATTATTTCTGCTACTATTCCAATCTGCCGTGGCACTTGATATAGCCAAAATATTTCAGTTTCTGAGAGAAGTTGCCCAGTATTCATTGATGTTTGAATCTGTTAGGTTGCCAGTAGTTATTTTCTTAGGCCATAATATTATGAGAATGATGTTAGTATTAAATTAATTATTTGAGGGTTTAATATTGAATGGTTTATGTTGGGATCTATAAAATGTAGAGACTGATGTACCTAACATATTTCTAATCTTACAGGTTGCAGGGGCTTTATTAGAAAAGAGAATCCCCATTGCGGACAAGGACAAACACAGGTTCACTCCCCTGATGTATGCTGCTCTGAAACACCAGTCTGTTGTCCTTGCCAAGTTTTTGATAGGTTGGTACTTTTTATCATGCATGTTATTGATTGGTGTGTTTTTGACAGGCTTCATTGTGCCTGGCTTGATCTCATTTGCATGGTCTTTCTCCAATGAGCGGCTGGTTGCCAGCTTGGCTTAATTTAGTTGAAGGTGTAAGCTCTTGGAGGAATAAAAAGCAAAAGAGGTTGGGGTACATGTTTTGATCCTTGTCCCACAAGTCATATTATGGAGTGTTAATTTGTATACTAGACAATAAAAAAAAAAATTCACCAGATGAAGAAAATTATATGCAAAATGTATATTATTTCTCAATGGGAGGAAAGGGCAAGAAGGACATACAATCAGGCTGCTGCTGATAGCATCGTAACAACTTTTCACTGGCTTGCTGAAGATGGTAGCTTTTCACTTGCTGCTGAAGATGGGAACAGAGCACCTGTGGGATTGTCCTGAGTGCTGTGATGTCAGCTGTTAACTCATTTTACCTTGAGAGCTATGTTGAACCAGTTATATTTGGAAGGGAATTATGGGCTGTCAGTAGATTAGTTAACAATTGTGTGGAAGTTGGAGAGGTGTGATCTTGTAGAAGAATGATATGGACACCATGGGCAGATAAAAGAGGTTTTGAAAGAAATTAACTCAAAAATAGAACGTGTTACTTGCATGAGAACAATGCAGCCCACATTCTTGGGAGCACATCATGAGATGAAGAAAACTGGGGTACATTGTGACAACAAGAAGATTAGAATAGTTGAGAGGCAAGAGGAGATAAGGAGAGAGAATATATTAGTTTGAGGAGACAGAAGGCTTTAAAGACGCAATCACCAATGCTTACACTACATGGACTGTGTAAAAGAGGATATTAGAGAAAGCGATTATAAATAAATTGTGTGCATATTTTGTCTTCCAGAAAATGACCTCAAGTTTGATCCGAAAGTAAGAGATGTGAAAAATCGGGACATAATGGCTGCCTTCATGTGGGACTATAATTGGGTCTCTGATAAGTTCAAGGTTGATGAAGTCAGGTAAGTCCGTCTGTTTGAACAATCAACTTAACTAGTAAGTAGCTGGCATACATATATATATATATAAAGTACACAGTTTTAAAAAACAAATCTCTCTCTCTCTCTCTCTCTCTCTCTCTCTCTCTCTCTCTCTCTCTCTCTCTCCTCTCTCTCTCTCTCTCTCTCTCTCTCTCTCTCTCTCTCTCTCTCTCTCTCTCTCTCTCTCTCTCTCTCTCTCTCTCTCTCTCTCTCTCTCCCCCTCCCTCCCTCCCTCCCCCCCTCTCTCGCTCCCTCCCTCCCTCTGTCCGTCCGTCCGTCTGTCTGTCTGTCCAGCTTTCTTTCACCCTATTCTCTTCCTGACAGTAGACACTCCCATTTCAGACACTAAGTTATACATAGAAATGGAAATGCATTTGTAATCGAATGCCCAATGCCTAATTAAGTTGATGAAGATTAAATGGGACTGAATTCAAGACAGGTTCTAATAAAACAAGATGGGAATAATCACTAAACAGGGGAGCTGAATGGAGGGCAGATGAACTGAGGAAACAAAGGCATCCAAGAGAAACCCTCAGATGAATGTTGTGGAGAGAGGTCAAAAGTGCTGGACAAGTTTAAATTCAAGATTTGAAAAGAAGTGCACAGGATAGAAGGATAATGTGAGGTATAGCGGCACAGCAAGAGGATAAAAGTTTAAGGTTAGGCACCTCAGCACTAAGTCAGTCACAAGAACTTTTCTCATCCTGCATGTTTACACACCAAAAAAATCTTTAGGTCCCAGAAATGCAGCAAAAAATACCAGACAAAAATATTCTGCAACCTGATGCTTATGATTTGTTTCAATTCCTTGTTATTTCCTATATTTGTCTTTTCTTTAGGCAATGGCTGGATACTCTGCTGGACATTGGACATGTGTCTTTGGACACTTTGTATGACCACCCACTTCCAGACCCACTTCTGCTGGGTGCCACCGTGGCCTGTGAGCAGCCAGACTACTTCAGTTCACAGTGCAAGGACAGCACCAGCCCGCTCATTTTTGCCATCAGAAACTATGACCTGGGCCTGGCCAAGTTTATGCTGCAGAAAGGAGCCAACCCCAACTTTGCTGATAGCAATGGTCTGACCCCAATGATGCATGCCGTCAGAATGGTAGGGCTCGATGTCTTTGCCCCCGCAGTTTAAATTTTGTGATTTTAGATAGTAACTTTATTACGTTGATGTAAACAGAACAAAAACAAAAAAAACTTTAGTTGCATTTCCTTTACAGCAGTGTTCTTCAACCCCCTTTTTCCCCCAGATCCTCACCGCGCCCTACAAAAACAGAAAAATGTTTCGCAACCTACTTGACAGAGAATCAGACACAGAAACAAATTTAGATAGAGGTTTATTTGTTTACATCCAGTGTCTCAGCTGATGTGACATTTAATCCTCATCCTTGAAGGTGTTAATCCTACAGACTGCAATCAGGGAATAGGGAAAAACTTCCTACCCTAACCCGTTACATGATAAGGCAGATGTTTTCATGGGCCACTCAGACTTCTCTGCAGCCTCTCGGTTGAAGAACGCTGCTTTACAGGACAATCATTTGATGGCTGTTCAAGGTTTTACTATGCAGTTTTATAAAAAGTGGTTTGCTATATCTACTGAGCGGTAGATGTTCATATATTTGCAGAAATAAGGCAAAGGGGTCTGAGACCAAATTGTCTGCCGCTGTGAGCCTGTGTTTCAAAATTTTGATTCTTTGTTCAAACCCCTAAGCGGATAATTTAGGGTTGTTCCTAGCCTGACAGTAGCATTTTTCATCTTGTTTTACTAGCATCTGTAAACTTCTCAGGAATTATTTTGCTGAGTTCTCATTAGAAATAATTTAAGAGGACAGTTTTCTTCTTTTTAGCATTCCTTGGCTGTAAACTCCAGTGGAAAGTTAGGTTGTTTCTTCACTTCTGGACCTTAGTGATCTTGATTGAGAATGTGAGCTTTGCGTGTGCATCTGTTTTACAGATCTGGCTTATTTGTATGCAGATTGTTGATTTTTTTTTAGCTATTGGGCAAGTTCACTTTGACTTTAAAGGAAACACTCCCAGTTAGTTGCCTTGTTCTTTGTTTCCACATGGGAAGGAACTGTTACATCTAGCTTATGTTTATCAGGAGTTACAGCCTTTTTTTTTTTAATTTTCTCAGAATGATGTCAAGATGGTGAAGCTTCTGCTCAACTATTCCTACGATGCTGAGGCTGATGTTCCCGAAGGTAAAGCAGCGGTGAAGCCACAGCTCTCCAAAGAACAGTCCCGACAGGTAAGCCACTGATTAATACTGTCTGTAACAAAATGCAATCAATAGGATATCTGTGGGACCTGATCTTATTCTGTATCAGGGAAAGCACTGTATATGCTTTAGTTATGCCTCTCATCAACCCCCCGACTCTCCTAGTTAACTCTTTCTTCCCCATGCAGTTATAAGATTGTTTAGTAAGTAAAAGATGCCTTTAACACCTTTAGGCGCATTAGGCATATGGGAAGAGCATCCATATTTTTACAGACCAATCGACAATAGGTGAGTAAAGTCGTCGGTGTTACGCCGGCCATCTTTGCCTCCCCAGACAACATCCTGGTACCCAATTTAATTAATTACACCTCATTATGAGTGAACAAGCTAATCAGCTTGCAGGTAAAGTTTCTATGGACGCCGGGAGAGCAGGCGACTGGTCTTATATACTGTATGCTGTGTGATGCGTAAGACATTTGAGAGATCTAAGTGATGCCTGTGAAACTGCAACAGTGATCAGATTGGAAGAATAGCAAGTTTGAAAGTTTGAGGCCAGGCAAGAGCACTATGCAGGAGGCCAAAGAAGAATAATAAAACAATCACAAAACTGTTGTTGTCATCAGCTGTTAAATACTTAGATCCAAACATCGATAGACTAAATGGCTCAATGTGCTGTGAGGAATAACCTACCAACTATCAACTTACTCACTGAAATGTCTCACAAATAATTCTTATGTTAGGTTGTTTGAAAAAAAAAAAAAAAAAAAAAATAATGAATAACACTTCTGACAAAGCTTAAAAGTGTTAATGTCCTTAATGTAACTGAAAAGGCTTGACTGTTCTATAATGTACATTGAAGTATGTACAGAGCTTCAGGGCCATAAATATGGCCTAACGGCTGAAAGGGGTTTCTGGGACCTCTCCACGTGTGATCTTCATCCGCACGTTGGCACTTTGTGTCACTGGGTGTTTATCGTTTGTCTGATGTCCTGGTGGGGGTACAACTACCTTCCTACCCTCCTTTGTAATAATCTCATCTTCAATATTTGACAGGTTTTCACCATTGACTTTCAAGCTCCTAAGGAGAAAAACCCAGATGATCTTCTCGATGAGGAGGTACTTCAGGAGGTTGAGGATGATGATGCTGTGTCTCTCTCTAAGCACTCAGAGGAGAATGAGGATTCAGTTGATTTAGGAGATGAAAGTGAGACATATATATTTTGTCTGTTATCTGTATCTTTTCTTCTTCTTTCCAGATTTAAATGTTTATGAAGGCTTTCTAGCTGTAAAATCAGTTCCATAAGGAGTGTTCGTTTGAAACCCATTTTAACGGCTTTAACACAAAAGCATGAAAGCAACATCAGGAGGTATGGCAGAATTAGACGAGCGTTCATGCAAGTATCCCTTCACTTAGGTAGGCGGCAGATGCTATCCGATAAAAAGTTATTGTGGTTGCTCACTGAACCAGTTATGTACATCGTAGATTACCTGGTACCCACTGGGAACACACTTTCCAGTATTGCGTCTCTTACGAACAAATTTTGAACTGTCCCAGTTACGCATTGAATTCTTTCGCTAGCGAACATATGCTTCAACAAGGTTCACCTGTGTTGCTGCATCACTTTTGGCGATGGTTTTCCTGTTGCAACATGAGCTTGACTCGGCCATAGAATATCTGCCATGAAAGCACATTGTTTCTGAAACATTATGCCCAGTCTGCCAGTGATGTCTTCAATACATATTTGTTACTATATGCTGCCTGTATTCTTTGATGAATGTCCACTGGTCAGCATCCTTCCAATGAATGAAACTGAAACATCTCTCTTTGAGCTTCTTTGTTGGATTTTAGATCAACCCAGCCGTTCTCGACAGTCAGAAACAGCCTATGCATCATGGGACGATAAACAGATGCTATTGTATTCATTGGTCAGTACTAATCACACATATATGACATGATTATGTTCAATGCACATAATTACTTGCGGGTCGAGATTTGTCCACATACAATTTTTGATGTAATCTTTGAGACCATGATCATTCCAGTACGAACGCAGCCAGACCAAACTGTATATGAGATCTTCTGCAGCGGGACACCTGAACTTAAGGTGAGAGGAAGACCAAGGAAGAGAGGGATAGATGGCATAGATGAAACCTGCACACAGAAACAAACATACATATGCTGGCGCACGCACACACAAGACATTTAAACAGAAAAAAAAAACTATTGCTGAAGCCACCTGAACAGAATAAGACAAATACAGTAACACACTGCACTGGGATACTGCCCGGTAATTCTGTGACAACCAAAGGAAGAAGTCCTGGATTTCAGGATTGTTTGCATAAACATGTTGCATGTTAAATTTGTGAATGCCAAGACATGCAATATGAACTGATTTATAAATAATTTGAACAGTCCTCTAGTAAAGAGATGGTTACTAAATTTTTTGTTATGGTGAGCCGCAAAATGGGAAACATTCCCAAGGTGGGCAAAAGAAACGCTTTAAGGACACCTTGAAGTCATCACTCAAAGCACTTGGGATGAATGACACCAATTGGGAGGTTGCCTCTTAAGACCCAAATGCAAGGCGTGCAGTTCTACACAAGAGGGCGGCTACATGTGCAGCAAACAGAACAGCAAGACTTATTAAGAAAAGGATGGACAGAAAGACAACTGCAGGAGATCTCCTCCCTGGCACAACGCTCACTCACTGTCCAAGAACTTTTCAGGCCCACATTGGCCTCATCAGTCATCTTCGTACTCATACTTGATGAAACAGAGTGGTCATCATCATCTTGATGGATAACACACACACACACACACACAAAATTTTACTGTTGTACTTAGTGTCAGGAAATCTTAGCAAGAAATTGTTTCTATTCACTTTACATGTGTTTTCTTTTAAATGTTTTTTTAAAAAAAAATCCCTCCAGGTGAGAATGAAGAGCCAGTTGCAGATGAGATGGAGATTGATGAGGACGAGGTCAAGGAAGGTGAAACGAGTGACCACGACACCGATATTGTAGAGGGCAGCGTGAAGCCTCTTGCTGCCTTGGCAAAACCCTCCGAGGATGGGTCTTCAATCCCCGAGTCAGCTGTCAAGCTATCTCTCATCAGACATGTCTCCCAGATGAATAAGGAAAGTGAGTACATTTGCTTAAAATAGACTTTTATCGAGTTCCAGCTTGACCATTTTCTCAGCCAGTGGAGGTTCCAGCGCCTCATTTTATGGGGACAAAAGAATAGACACCACCCCCCCCATTTCCTGCAAGTGTGTTGTAAAAAGGCGACTAATTTGAAGTGTTTCCTTCAGTCAGAGTGCATCTGCCTGAAAGGCAAGGAACCAACAGTCTGCATACAAATCAGCTAGATCTGTCAACCGGATGTGCATGCAAAGCTCAGGTTCAGAAGTCCAGAAGTTAACGAGCAGCCAGAACTTACCACCGGAGTTTAAAGCTGGTGAACGCTAAGAAAAAGAAGACCATATTGGGGAGGGGGGTTGGGGTCTTGTCACCTAATTTTTTTTAAAGACAGTGGTGGGTGCAGATGCAGACAGCCTGCATTTTGAACAGGAAAAACTTGAAGATGAATATGAACACAGGCAGTATTTAGATGCTCCTTGGGATTCAGAACACATCTGCTTGAGAGGCAAGGATATAAAAACAGTCTGCATAAAGTAAGCCAGATCTGTGAAACGGATGTGCTTGCATCACTCAAATCTTGGAGGAACAAAACCGGAGTCCAGACTCGGACAAACTACCAAGACATTACGCCAGAGTTAACAGCCAGTCGATGCAGAAGAAGAGTTATTTTAGCCAGCCACACACACATGCGCACGCACGTGCACGCGCGCACACCCACAAAGTTAAGGGGAGGTCCCTTTATGAACATTATGGCATCTGGAGGACTTGAGTTTGCTGCACATTTTTACACTTCTCATGCACATCCGCACGTGCACACACACACACACATATCTTCTATACCCCTCCACACATACTTTTACCACACTCCCCCTTACACATAATTGTGCCACGTCATCTTACCATAAACACTTTGATTACTCTGTCTCTGTCTGTCTGTCTGTCTGTCTGTCTGTCTGTCTGTCTCTCTCTCTCTCTCTCTCTCTCTCTCTCTCTCTCTCTCTCTCTCTCTCTCTCTCTCTCTCTCTCTCTCTCTCTCTCTCTCTCTCTCTCTCTCTCTCGTCTCTCTCTCTCTCCTCCTCTCTCTCTCTCTCTCCCCTCTCTCTCTCTCTCCCCCCTCTCTCTCCCTCTCTCTCTCCTCCCTCTCTCTCTCTCTCTCTCTCTCTCTCTCTCTCTCTCTCTCTCTCTCTCTTTCTGCGCGCGTGTGCGTGTGTGCTGGTGCTGCTACTACTGCTGCTGCAGCAACAACAGTAATACAGTAACATTAAAAAGTGTGAATGGAATTAAACAGTTAAATTGGTTTTCAGTACTTGTTATGGGAAGTTAAAGGTCTACTTCCAGTTTGGGAATATAATTTTAGCATTAGAGAAATATCGTTGCAAAGCTTTCAAAACCTGCCCATTATGAACTAAACAATCTTTATTTATCCTTGCGCAGGAGAATACACCAGCATTCAAAAGACAAGTCCCGTTGACTTGTCTTTGGCAGATAAGAATGGCTGGACTGCTGTCCATCATGCGGTCTGCTCCCTGTCCTATGCCACCTTTGACAATGCCGAGATCGTGTACATTCTGGCCAGGGCAGGAGCTCCTCTGGAGGCTAAGAACAGTGACGGGCAAACAGCCATGGACCTGGCCCAGAAGACTGATGCTGAAAACATTGTGAAAATCCTGAACAAGTTACTGGTTGAGGCTCCTTATAACAAAGAGCCACAGCCTTTCACCAGGGTAAGTGGCAAATGTTGGCGTCTGTGGCTTAGGTGTTGTGAACACGCTTTATAATGCCGGGGTGCTGGGTTCGATCCTATTTTTTTTCCTTCAAATTTTATTTTTAAAGAGTAAATCAGTTTTATTTTGTAAGTCACTACATTGTGAAAATCCTTAACAAGTTACTGGTTGAGGCTGCTTATAACAAAGGGTGCTGGGTTCGATCCTAGTTTTTTCCTGTAAATTTTTTTAAAAGAGTAAATCACTGTTTTATTTTGTAAGTCACTATTTTGTAAAAGTAAGTAACTATTTTGTAATAGTCATCACAATTTTGTAAGAGTAAGGTACTATTCTGTGTTTTGAATAGGAAGTCACCATTCTATTTTAAAAAGGGGAAGTCTCTATTATATTTGCAAGAATAAGTAAATATGCTATCTGATAAAGTAAGTCACTATTTTTTTCTCGCAAGTGTAAGTATTTTATTTGATAAGTGTACGCCCGTGTTTTATTTTGTAAGAGTTTGAGATTAAACCCAGCGATGCTGAAATTGAGAGCATACAATATAAAAATGGAAACACACCTAAGTAAAAGGAGAACTAGAAGAAGATGGGTGGAACTAGTCACTGACAACCTTCACAGCGTCATAACAAGCAATGGAGCACACCCTGGCTCAGTCAGTTTTTCATTTGTCAGTAGCATTTCAGTATTCTATTTGATAAGTCAGTATTCCTGTAAAAAATATGGGGGGGGGGGGGGGGGGGGGGTGGGGGGGGGGGGGGGGGGGGGGGGGGGGGGGGGGCCCTTAAAAAAAAAAAAAACCTTATCCTTGTCACAATGCTGAGGTAAGCCACAAAAATGTGACACTTTCAGTCAGCTGATTAGGCTCAAATGTCCATCAGATACATGCCCTATAGCCCCACTGGCCAGAATGTTGGGACCAGATAGAGGAGGCAGTGCCTTATGCGTGTATTTTCCATACGGTCATGCTAAGTGTCCAAATTAAACAACGGTAAATATATTTAATGTGCCGAAGAAGAGCATACCTTTTTGTGTGGTCATCAAAGTAATGGACCTGCGGGCTGCTCCCTCCTGATCTCTGGATAGTGCAGCCCGTGATGAGTGGGATGCTGAACATATGGATGTAAGATTGAGCAGTCATGTGCAGAACGTGGCGATTACTTGAGTGAGCACAGGACCAGAGTCTCATGTGTCTGCTCTGCATTTATGGAAGCCTCCTCCTATAGTGGGAAATGCCCATGATCTGCCTCTGCCTTTCCTTGAGGGTTGCCTGGGACAGGTTTTCCAGGGGCAACACCTGTAGTTAAGGGGACAAAGAGAACACTACAAAACTACAAAATAAGACTAGACCTTGTCGCACGAAATTATTCGGGAAGTTAACCTTGTCAACAACTGCTCGATGAATTCAGATGTGTCAGCAGAAAGGCCTAAACATCCCAGCCTTGCTTGTAAACAAGCACAACACAATTACATCACCCGGGTGAACAAAAAGAAGAAGAAAAAGAAAAAATTGCATAGTGATATCACACACACACACAAAGCCAAAATAGATGGTGGGGTTGGTTTTCAACATCCTGTTAAAAGTATACACAATTAACATTTAAATAGGTATTCTCCTTGATCTCTTCAGAATCCCCAAGCCTTCACTGTGACAGATGTTGTTGCAGACAAGGTCAAACCTGATGTCAGGGCAGATGCAGAGGAGATGTTGAATAAGCTTGATGCTGGCAGCTCAGATGGGGAGCAGTCAGACTTGCCAAAAGTAGATGATAATTGTGAAATCAAGAAAGTGGGGTAAGAAAATAATCTTGTTTCATGTTTTATGTTAGTATGTCAAACAAATTTCAGCGAATCGAGAGGTGAACTAACGACACTGGCACTGGATAGGGCACATATTAAGGAAAAGCAAGATCAGTAGTACGAGAATGTTTTTACCCTGGAACCAACATGGGCATAGAAGTAAAGATAGACCCCAAAAAAAAAAAACAGAGAAAGGAGCTAGAGAGTGAAGTTAAGATTTGAACCTTTGAGGTTTGAACAACGGATCAACATCATGGTACACCACTAGTAACCCATAAGTGCTCCGTTCTTCTTCTAACGAGTCCAAACAAAGAAGCTCAGCCCAGTGCACAGGCTCTGTAGCACCGGCGGGGATCCTGAAATACTTTGGGTAGATTTTTAACTCCAAAGTTTGCCTGGGCAGCGCGGTTAGGCTACTCTTTTTGATTTTCAACTGCCAAGGGATTTTTGTTACGTGCGCAACAATGCACACGGGCATCCGATCTCACAACCCAGAGATCAGGAAAAAAATTACTAGAAGTCCAAAATCCCAGCCCTTACCGGGATTGAACCTGGAACCTCTAGTAATTGAGGCGGACACCATGCCTCAAGGTCACACTTAAAAAAAAAAATAGGAAGGACATGGGGTGAGCTGCATGCGATAGCAAAGGACAGGACAACTTGGCCTAATTTTGTGAAGGACCTATGCTCCATTGAGGAATACAGAGCAAAGAAGTCAGTACATCATCATTTTAGAAAGTTGACTGCAGTTGATTTCCTCAGCTTTTTCTGTCTCCTCCCCCCAGTTTTGCTGGACGCTTTCAGAGACTGCTGCTTTTATTGTCCCATTTGCATCACTGTCTGACTCTTGCTTGCTTGTTGAAAGGTTTTTGAGTTCTGGATGTTTTTACAAAATAATAATAATAGTATTATCTTTTAATGTGGCCAGTTTATTGCACTTATCTGTTCTTTATTTCTGTCATTCACTCTTTTATTTTCATCTGTTTAGACCCTCTGTATTTCAATTTTTGTGTGTGTTGTTTATTTCTTTGTTTCATGAAATACAATTTATTCTTTTGTATATCCACGACTCCGGGGCCCCTTCATTTGATTTTTTAACTGCATGTTTATTGTGCAAGTGTCTGCAAAGTAGAGTGCACATAACTTTTGACAGTTCTCATTCTTAATGGGCTGTTTATCTAGTTTTGTCCCCCCTTGTTAGAAATATGAGGATATCTTTAAATGAAAACCTTAAACGTGTTGTAGCATTAACAATAACCATGCCATTGTGTTGTAACCTGTCAGTATTGTTAAGGATGTCAAGAGTGTTAAGCATTTGAAATCATGGTACAGATGCTCACTGTGATGTCATAATGACAGGTTTTGAAGCCTTCCCTCCCCACCCCACCCCGTTTCATAGAACAAGGGACATTCCCATATGTGCTTTGTACCTATCTTCAGCAGCAGGTGCACTGTTCCAATTCCAGTAGAACCAGTAACAGTTTGACTGTATGTCCATGTTTGACAGAAATGAAGCTTGTGGGTTTATTCTCTTGCAGTGAAGTGGCCAGAAGCCCCACTACTAACATTCCCTATGATGTGACGTTGAGCAAAGTGGATGTAACTTGTGGGCAGTATGGAATGTACAACTTCTACAAAATGCAGGTTAGCTGGTGTTTGTGTGTGTGTGTGGCCGGTGGTCTTTGTAAACTTGTGTTTTTGTGTGTGATTGACACATCCTGTTTTTTTCATTTATTTTACTGTATATGTGTTAGTTAATAATAACAAGAATAATAATAATACTTATCAATGCCAGACATGAGATGAATAAGAAATGCGGCAGGGGAAACAGGACGAGACAAAGAGTCACCAACAAAGAACAAATAACAGATGTAGGCACAGTATCAGTCAATGAATTCATACAACATCAAGAATCAAATGGTTTGGTCATCTCTGATCAGAATGGAACAAAGTCAGCCAGCAGTTAGAGTGTACTGCTTGAGGAAATCAGCAGGATATAGGTCAAAAGAAAAAGATGGGTGGAGGGAGTAAAAGAAAACACTACATCTTAACACAAACTACACAACTAGCAAAAAAACAGGATACTACATCTAACTTCTCAGTAATGCTTTATGGCATTAACTGTTGGACAGAGGAAGAAGAAAGAATATTAACAGTAATGCTGGCTAGAAGGCTGGGCCCTTATGTGGGAGATCCTGGTTCAATTCCTCGCTAAATGATGACAGTTTTATGTCGGGGGGAAAAAACAACAGCCTTACCTTGTTCATGGCAACCATACTAGCCATACAGCCCTAAATTCTTGCAATTGAGAGAGAGGAGAGAGAGATGCACACAGTCAAACACATACTACTACATACTCTCACACTCATAAATATAATGACGCGCACTGGCACACACAACCCTCACCCCAAATGGTAAATGCAGGCCGCAACAGCAGGGAAGAGAATTTTTGGTTGTGTCTGAATTTGCCCAAAAACAGCATTTGTGGATTACAGCCGTGCTGTGATATTTGCACCTTTTAGCCCAACACATTTTATTTTCATTGGTTTTTTTTTCTTTCTTTTATCTGTAATGTACCTATGCCAGTAACTAATCCAGATTTGTTATTTTTCAACAGATTGTACGTCACACAGCAAAAAATCTGTACATCCTTTTCACACGCTGGGGTCGTATTGGAGACAGGGGCCAGTATCAGCATACTCCGTATCAGTCCCTTGCAGAGGCAGCCAAAGAGTTCTGTAAAATTTTCAGATCCAAGACTGGCAATGACTGGAGCCAGATCCACAAGTGGGTGTTTTTATATGATTTCATATACATAGTTGCCTATGTGGGTTGGGGGTCTCACTTTTTAATGGAAAAAAATTATACTCACTGCCTGACTGACGAGCATGTCGTAAAAGATGACTTAAGGAGTTTGCTGAGTCTGGACGCGTTGTGCTGGAAGGTGCAGATATCACAGCCTAGCTGTTAACTGCAGCACAATCTACCAACACTAAACGCAGAACAAGACAGAGAAGATACATGTAATTATTAGTGATGCTGGTTGTTAGTAAGCTGTTTTTTTCTGTGAGGCTTTATTTAGTTATACAGATGTACTGGAGTACATCGTGACAGTAGGAAAGTTAGAGGAGAGGGGAGGCAGATGGGGACCTAGAGAAAAGATGCTGGACAGTTTGACATTATCGCATGGAGGATCATCTGTGTCAGAGTTGATTGAAAGTACAAGAGACAGAAGGTTGTAGATAGATATGACTACCAATACCACATGGCATGGACTTTAGGAAGAAGAAGAAAAGTGTTCATTGTTAGTTGTTTTGTAGCCTTTCAAATAGCTCTACAAGATTTCTGATTCCTTTTCTGCCAGTCATCATCATCATCATGTGCCTTGCTGACTGGCGTGGACGATCGTGCCTCTAAACAATCTGCAATCCCCTGCAGCATGTATCAATTCGTGTGCCGACACACCTTTGTGCCATGCAACAAGACTTTCAAGAATCTTCTCTTGTTGTCTTCCTCTATCCCTCCTTCCACAGATCTTTCTAGTGGTCACAACATGTTCTATTTTCCCTCTTCACATAAAATGGCCAAGAAATGATGGCTGTCTCCTTCTGATGTCTGTGATGCCTCAAAATATTACAAATTCTGCCAATATGCTCTATAAATTGTCCATTATTTGTTTCATGCACTCAACACATTTTTTTTCGGAGTCACATCATAAGAAGAGAATCACTGGAACAAGTGACAGCTGGAAAGATTTATGAAAGCAGAGACAGAGGAAAACAACGAGAAAGAGTTATTGATAGCCTGTTGTCAGTTCATGGAAGAGTGTCAACACATGAGTTAATGCAGCTGTTTCAGACTGCATTTTGAGAAGCTGGTTCTTTGTTAATATCCTACCCCAGATGACGTCACAGGAAAGTCTTACATTTTGGAGGGTGGTAAGACTGGGTTTCCCGGCTTTCTGATGCTTTTAACTACCCCAAAACATCTAGAACTGGCATCAAAAACCCCAACCCACCTATGTCTCACAAGAAAGTGTAGCCCAGGTCCCACAATTGCGTGCAGCCTAGGTCCCACGACTGCAAGCAGCCCATCTACTACCCCCTGAAATATTAGACTGTTCCTTGACCTGTGGATGTCCTCTGTTTGGGGTAGGATAATAATAATAAAGCACTGAGAAGCTTGATTATCAGTGCCACATAGTAAGACATTGATGATGATGATGATGATAATGATGATGATGCTTGTAGCTTTTCATCAGTTTTTTTCCATTCAAAATTTTAAACAGGCTTTTTGGTACTTGCTCCACAATCTACCTGAAATCTTCTGTTGCTTTTGGTGACCTAGTGGCAGGCGATGTTAAGGGAGGACAGAGATGATGTCCATTTCTGAAGAACATAAATGACTTGCATGCATTTTCTTTCAGATTCCAAAATCACCCCAAGAAGTACAGACTGATGCCCAAACCCAGCAAGCAACACAAACAGCACAAGGTGGAGTTTAACTTGGAGTCCAGCTTGCCAACCAAGCTGCCGGAGCCCGTCTTTGATCTCGTCTCGGAAGTGGTTAGTCCTTTTCTGTGGAAACAATTTCAGTTTTGATATCATTGCTTTCTGCTGCAATAATAATAAAAAAAAAAAAATGTAAAAAGGTCCCTTTTCCATACCTTTAGGCGTATAGGGCATACAGGAGCTAGACCTATATTTTTATAGACCAATCGGCACAAGATGGGTGATGTGGTCAGCATCACCCCGGCCGCCTTCACTTTGCGGGACTATACCCGGTACCCACTCAAGGCTGAATCGACCTGGGAGTCAAGGTCGTTTTTAAAAACAAGTCCTGCAGCTGTAATTTGTAATATTTGTCGGTGTCTGTGGCTTAGGCATTGTGGAGATTGTTAATCCAAGGTATGGGAACGATCCCAGCTTCGGGCGAATTGACAGCAGATTGCCTTGCATTAGTTTTGACTGGTATCGAGAGCCAGTTGTTCAGAAAACTGGCAAACTACTGAACGTAAACACGGTCTGGTGAGTCAGATCACAAACTGCAGTAAGAAAAATAGTAATGATAATAATGATAATAATAATAATAATAACAATAAATGCTTTGAACAAAAAGATTTATCCTGGCCTTTTATAGTGGCCTGAAAGGGGTCAGCACCTGAATTGATACACACTGTTGGAGATGACAAGTTGTGGAGAGGCATGATCGTCAGTGCCAGGTGGCAAGGCACTTGATAATGAGGATGAAGATTTTTCAAAAACAGATTTATACTGTTTGGATGGTTTGCCCAAACGGCTGTTAATATGATAATAATATCTACAGCAATAGGATACAGTCCTGGCTTTTGTCTTCATTGTATTAACAATAGGATACTGGTCATTTGCTTTTTATCTTCAGTTTATCAACAACAAGAGGATACTAGTCATTGCTTTTGTCTTCATTATACCTATAACAGTATGATACTTGTAATTGCCTATGTCTTCATTATATCGACAACAACAGGATAATAGTCATTACTTTTGTCTTCATTATATCTACAACAGTAGGATTCTTGTCATTGCTTATGTGATTTTTAACCTGTCCTTAACATCAGTATCTTGTGGTTGAAAAATTAGTCCCTTAACAAAAACACGGCTATTGAGTTTTGAATTGAAAAGCTGTGACATGCTTGAGGTCACTACATGGTATATGGTGACCAGTTCCCTTTCCTGTCACTTTCCCCCAGAAAGTTCTGTAAATTATCCAGTACCCATTTTTTAAAGGCTGGGTGGACTTAAAATGTGTACTGGTCGTCGAAAAAACATCCCGCTGCTTCGTCAGAATCAAACCTGAACCATTGCATCAGCAGGCAAGTGTACAGACTGGTGTGCCACCACAGATTTTCTAGCACCTATGCCCAGTGCGCTTCAAGGTCTAACAGAGGATCAAAGTTACTTTTTCTTTCTTACTGTAAATTTTACATGTGTGAGTTTGTGAGTGAGAGAGAGAGAGAGAGTGAGTGAGTTAGTGAGTGAGTGAGTGAGTTAACGTGATTTCTGCATTATTAGTAATCACTAATAATCTGTCTTCTCATGAGGAAAAGCCGACAGTGAATTACCAAACAGGTATGGCAGTGGGAAATAAATAGACTGAGGAAATAAGGGTGCCAAAGAGACCCTAAGAAGAATGCTATTGAGAGAGGTCAAAGGTGCTGGACTGGGATTCCGTCCATGATATCTAAAGGACTACACAGTATAGAACGAAATGGAGGGCTATGATGATGTACATGTGCGAGCACAAAGACAAATGTTATGTGTAAACATAACACACACTCACAACCTCCCAAACTTCTTTTGTAATGTTTTCAATATTTACTTCTCTTCCTTTCTTCTTGTAGATTGGGCAGACATTTGAAAAAAAAAATTTCTTCTTCTTCTTCCATTGGCTTGAAATAAATTATCTATATCTGCAATGATCCAAAGAACTCAAAAAACCGTTAAAAGATTTTGGACAGTGTCAGATAGAGTACTATTAGTAAAACTTTCGCGGCAGACGGTTTGACATAAACTTAGTACAGATTTATGCCCCAACAGCAGATAGTTCAGAGGAAGATATTGACGCATTTTATGATGAGTTAGACATGGCTGTTGATCAATGCAAAAATTGTGAAGTAACAATAGTACTTGGAGATTTCAACGCGAAAGTAGGAAGTGAAAAAGTGTACGGAATAACGGGTGGCTATGGCCTGGGAGAAAAGAATGTGAGAGGTGACAGATTAATGGCATGGGCTGAGTCGCACAGCATGATAATAGGTAACACCTGGTTTAAACACCATCCTCGAAGATTGTGGACTTGGAAAGTCCTGGTGATAATGTCCGCAATCAGATTGATTATATTTTGATTTCAAGAAGATTCCAGAGCAGCTTAGTTGGAGCAAAAACTAGACCAGGGGCAGACTGCTTTAGTGACCATGTTCCAGTTGTAGGAAAAATTAGAATAAAACTAAAGAACATTAGAAAAACACCACAGAACATCAAGTTATATTTAGGAATTCTTAGAACAGATAAAGAAATTAAGGAACAGTACAATGTCACTGTACAAAACTGGGATAATGCAATGGAAATTATACAGACTATTGATGAACAGTGGGATATGTTGCGTGAGTCAATTCAGCAGACATCAAAAGAGACAATCCCACCAACCATAGAGTTGCAAAAAAGAAATGGATGTCAACCGAAATTCTGCAGTTGATGGATGAAAGAAGGAAGAAAAAGAATGATAAAGAAGAATACTCTAGAATACAAAAAGAAATAGTGAACAAATGCAAAGTGGCTAAAGAAGCCTGCCTGAATCAAATGTGTACAGAGATTGGGGAAAATCACAGGAAAGACTCACATTCCATGTACCAACAGATAAATATGTTAACAGGAAAGATGACATATAACAGCACTGGATGTTTGAAATCAACAGATGGTGACTTATTAATGGGACATAGTAATATAATTAACAGATAGACAGAGTATATAGGGGAATTGTATGATGATAATAGACCAGACATAGAACTGCAGACCAACAATGATGGTCCACCAATAATGACTGCAGAAGTTGAGGATGCAATACATCATATGAAGAAAGGAAAAGCACCCGGGCCAGACAACATCTCACTGGAAGAAATCGAAGCACTGGGAAATTTTGGAATTAAAATAATAACTAAATTTGTAAATGATATTTATTATAGTGAGTATATTCCAAATGACCTTTTAAAATCCATATTTATCGCTCTGCCAAAGAAGCCAGGCACTTTAAAATGTGAAGACCATCGCACAATAAGTATTATGAGTCATATGACTAAGATTTTACTGAGAATAATTATGAGAAGAATAAGAAACAAAATTAAACCAGAAATCAGCGATGAACAATGTGGATTTGTAGAAGGAAAAGGTACAAACAATGCCATTTACATCCTAAGGACATTGTCAGAAAGAGCTATAGAAATAAAGACTGTTTTGTACTTATGCTTCATAGACTATACAAAAGCATTTGACTGTGTGAAGCATGAAGAAGTAATCAAACTGTTAGAAAAATTAAACATTGATGGGAAAGATCTACGAATAATAAAGAATATGTATTGGCAGCAAACAGCAGCTATAAGAATAAACAACTGTTTAGGTACATTTTAAAGCATAAAGAGGGGCATACGACAAGGATGTGTACTTTCACCTGATTTGTTTTCAATATACAGTGAATATATAATGAGATCTTTAATTGATATGCCCGGAATTGTGGTTGGTGGGCACAATGTAAACAATTTACGTTATGCTGATGACACAGTCTTGATAGCAACAAGTCAGAAAGAATTACAGGAAATGATAGACATTGTGGTGTTAGAAAGTGGAAGAATGGGCCTTAGTTTGAATAATGGGAAGACAGAAGTAATGATGGTATCAAAGAAACAAATTATTCCTAAATGTGTAACAAAAGTCAATGGTGTTATTTTAGGACAAGTACAGAAATTTAAGTATCTGGGCACATGGATAACATCAGATGGAAGATGCATAACTGAAATAAGAAACAGAATTGGACAGACAAAAACTGCATTTTATGAAATGAAAAACATCTTGTGCAACATATCCCTTGTCATTGAGAGTTAGAAAAAGAATTCTTACTTGCTACATACATCCAGTTTTAACATATGGATGTGAACCCTGGACAATCGGTAGGCAGGCCAAACAATTTTTAGAGGCCTCAGAGATGTGGTTTTACAGAAGAAGGCTTAGATACCTTGGACAGCCAAAAAGAGCAACCAAGAGGTTTTGAAAGAGGCGGGAGCCCGAAGACAACTACAGACATCAGAAGGAGACAGTCATCATTTTTCGGCCATGTTATGAGAAGAGGGAAAATAGAACATGTTGTGACCACTGGAAAGATCTGTGGAAAAAGGGATAGAGGAAGACAACGAGAGAAGATGCTTGACAGTCTTGTTGCATGGCATGGAGTTGTGTCGGCATACGAACTGATACATGCTGCAGGAGATCGCAGATTATGGAGAGGCATGATCGCCCACGCCAGTCGGCAAGGCACCTGATGATGATGATATCTGCAATGTTGTCTCTAGTATGAACTTCACTGTCTTTTGTAATTCACAATGAGAGAAGATGCTTGACAGTCTTGTTGCATGGCAAAGTTTGACGGCATAACGAAACTGATACATGCTGCAGGAGATTGCAGATTATGGAGAGGCATGATCGCCCACGTTTCTCAAGGGCTTGAAATGATGATATCTGCAATGTTGTCTCTAGTATGAACTTCACTGTCTTTTGTAATTCACTCAGCGACCCGTAAAGTTTGACTTGCACCGAGGTTTCTCGTAGTGAAAAGTTTTGCCTTGATATGTTGTATTTGGGACAGTCTTGGGGGGACATGATTTGTTGTCTCAGGTGCCAATCCACATGTGCACACGGTGGATTCGCCGATTTGAAATTTTATATACATGTGGCTGCGAAGTCGATTGTGTCCTGTTCTAAGGCGTAGAATAATTTGAGCCAGTGCAGTTTTATACAATATGTCGTATCTCCTACAGAGCAGCGTGAACATGCTTCTGGCATCAACAAACAAATTTGGATTGGATGAGGACTTCATGCCATTTGGCCGCATCAAGAGAGAAACCCTTTTGGAAGCTAGAAGATTGCTTACTGATATCAGGTAAGTTCTGCAGCAGGGTATAATTTTCTTAGAAAGAGCATCTTCTGCCCATTATCCTTCATTGGAGCAGAGACCCTCAACTAAGTCACCCCGAGCTGTCAAATTTTTTGCCATCTTCTGTGTGGTAGAGCCTAGAAGTTGAACCCAGGTATATCTTGCTGTTCAGCTGGCAAGAGTTTAAGAAACAGCATTTATCTTTTAACTGTATCACGACAGGTTGTTTCACATTTCACATCTTCACCATCAGCTAATAAGGAAATGTTGCCGAATATTTAATCATCATCATCAGGTGCCTAGCCAGCTGGCGTAGGCATTCATGCATCTCCACTGATCTTGGTGTTCTGGATCAATTCTGCTGATGATATTCCTCCGTGCCACTGTCTAAAGCCATCCACCATCGTTTCTCTTGGTCTGCTTCTGCCTCTTCTACCAGTGATCTTTCCAGTCATCACAGTATTTTCCAGTGCTCCTTTTCTTTTTTCATCACATGACCAAAGAACTTTGTCTCCTTCTCATTGTTGTATATAATGTTCTATTTTCATTAGCCATTTTTAGTCAGTCATTGTTAGTCATTCTGGCAGTCCAACGTATTCACAATATTCTACTCGAGAACCACATCTCAGTTGCCTCCAAACTCGTCTTAATTTGTCCCCCCTCCCCCCCTCCCCAAGACATTTCCTCCTAAGTCGACCCAGCCTTAAATAGATACCAGGTTAAGTCCTGGAAAATAATGATGGCTGGTGTGATGTTGATCTCGTCACCCACTGATTGATGATTTGTCTATAAAATATACGTCTAAATACCTTTATGGTTTTCACAACGGATCAACATCACGGCACAAGGTAGTAACCCATGAGTGCTCAGTTATACTTCTAACTCAAGCCTGAGTACGAAGAATCTCAGCGCAGAGCATGAACTCCCTTGCACTGGCGAGAATCCTGAAATACTTTGGGTAGATTTTTAACCCCAAAGCCCGGGCAGCGCCATTAGGCTACTCTTTTCTATTTCAAACTGCCAAGAGATTTTTTTACGTGCATAGCAATACACACAGGCGTCCAGTCTTACTACCCAGAGACTAGAGGAAATTACTCGAAGTCCACATGAACGAAGTTCCAGCCTTCACAGGGGACCTCCAGCACCCGAGGCAGATGCCATACCTCAAGCCCGCTCAGCCCTCCACTGTAAGCCTAACCTGCCTGAAGCTGTGGAAAATGGTCCTTTTTCAGCATTAGTAGAACACATAGATTCACCTTGTAAAGATCCCTGTGTGGGTTCTGGGGTACGGGAAAACAAGAAATAGAAGAAAACAAGAATAGACCCACTACCTCCCCAACCAGCATTTTGTAAGAGTTGACTGGGGTTACCTTGAGTGTTGGAGTTCACATGCCAGAGAGGCAAAGAACCAACAGTCTGCATACAAATAAGCTAGCATATAAATAAGCTAGATCTCTAAAATAGATGCACACGCAAAACTCAGGTCCTGGAACAAAGCCAAAGTCCAGAAATGGATGAACAACCAGGTTTTTCTGCCGGGGCTTACAGTCAGTAAACGCAAACAAGCAACAACTTAAAAAAAAAATGTATTATGAATCAACTTCCTTTATTTCTGCAGTGAACTGATAGACAAGGTGACAAAACTGCGCAACAATTTAACAGTGGATGTTCAGGCAGAGTTTCAGAGTAACTGTGAAGAGGTAAGATATCACTTTTTTTTTTAATCGTTAACTTTTCAGTCCATAGGAATGCATCATGTTTAACTATAAGTCATCTAAGGGACTTGAACATCCAACACAACTTTATCTAATATTTGTGTTAAATGTGGCCCTGTTCTTCCACATCTTTTCTGGCCAGTCTTTATTTCCTTTATTCACAAGTATCTCAACGCTTGAGCTGGCCAGACAGACAGACGTGGGTTTTTTTATTTATTATTATTTTTTGTGTGTGTGTTTTGTTCAGCCCAAGCCGCTTCTTTCTTAGCATTTATTGACTGTAAATTCTGGCGGAAAGTTCTGGTTGATCATCCACTTCTGGAGTGACAAATACTATCTGTGGTCTTGTTCTGCTATTTGCGTTTAGCCTGCGTGCACATCCTATTCAGGGGTCTGGGTTATTTGTATAATGACTGTGGGATCCTCACCTCTCAGGCAAATCCACCTTGACTTGGTAGAAAATCCTTTTCGTAGGTGACTTACTACATGCTTTAAGGCAGGTGGAGGGAGGATTAGAGGGGGGGGGGGGGTGTCTCCCTCTCCCCCAAATGGGCTTCAGAACCCACACAGGGGTTATAAAGCCAATCCAAGGATTCATTAAGTTACTGTTGGAAGATAGAGCAGTAGGCTACCCGTCGAGTTTGATCATGTTGAAGAGCCATTTCAGGTGTTTAAAAAAAAAAAAGAGTAAGATCTGTGTGGGAAAACACCTAT